TTGCAGTGAGCCAAGGTCGTGCCACTGCACTCCAGCCTGGGCAACAGAGTGGCCACCATGGCCAGACTCTGTCCCACACGTTAGAGACACAGCTGAGAGCAAGGGACCCCACAGAGTCACATTCTAGGAGGCAGCTGCTGTCACAACACCTGCAGCAGGTTCAAGCTGCGGCTGACGACGGAGTCTCAGATTCGATGAAGACAAAAGGCATTACCCTTGGCTAGCAAGAGATAACCCCAAGCCTAACGGTGCATAAAGGGCCAAAGGGAAGGGGCGGAAACGGCGCAGGACCGAGAGAAAGCCAGCACAGAATCTAAGTTCGGCACGGCGGAGCGGAGGTGCTGAGCGCTGTGAACATCTGCAAACCCTGAGCAGTTATAAAAACTGACCACACTGTCTTCCTCGAGGCCTTAGAAATAGAAATTCCATTTGACCCAGCAATCCCATTACTGGGTATATATCCAAAAGACTATAAATCGTTCTACTATAAGGACACATGTACACGAATGTTCATTGCAGCACTGTTTACAATAGCAAAGACCTGGAATCAACCCAAATGCCCATTGATAATACACTGGATTGGAAAAATGTGGCACATGTACACCATGGAATATTATGCAGCAATCAGAAATGATGAGTTCGTGTCGTTTGTAGGGACATGGATGAATCTGGAGAACATCATCCTCAGCAAACTGACACAAGAACAGAAAATGAAACACCGCATATTCTCACTCATAGGTGGGTGATGAAAAATGAGAACACATGGACACAGAAAGGGGAGTACTAAACACTGGGATCTATTGGGGGGAAAAGGGGAGGGCCAGTGGGAGGGGGTGGTGGGGAGGGATAGCCTGGGGAGAAATGTGGGTGAAGGGGAGAAGAAAAGCAAAGCACACTGCCATGTGTGTACCTACGCAACTGTCTTGCATGCTCTGCTCATGTACCCCAAAACCTATAATCCAATAAAAAATTAAAAAAAAAAAAAAAAAAAACTGACCACAAGAGGCAGGCAGGAGCACGGGACCCCGAGCACAAACATGAAAACGTGTGGAAACTACAGTGACTTTGGAAACTTCATGGATCAGAAACAAAACCATGATCGGGCAGTCTCAAAACAACTCCAGCCGGCGCGGTGGCCCACACCTGTCATCCCAGCAGTTTGGGAGGCCAAGGCAGGTGGATCACTTGAGGTCAGGAGTTCGAGACCAGCCTGGCCAACATGGTGAAACCCCATTTCTACCAAAAATACAAAAATTAGCCGGGCATGGTGGCCCACACACGTAATCCCAGCTACGTGGGAGGCTGAGGCAGGAAAATCGCTTGATCCCAGAAGGTGGAGGTTGCAGTGAACGGAGATGATGCCACTGCATCCAGCCTGGGTGACAGAGCGAGACTCTGCCTCAGAAACAAAAACAAAAAACAAAAAAACTGAACTCCCAAAACGCAGCTCATGCAGCTCTAGGAGAAGGTGCCTTAAACATAGGCTAGGATACAAAAGAGACCGGAACTAATGAATAAGCAAGGGGAAACCCAAAAAGGTAGACGGTAGGAATTAAAAAAAAAAAAAAACAGCGGATGTTAACAAAGGGAAGTAAAGGGCCAAAGGCTGCCAAAGACAGCTGTGAGGAGACAGAAGGGAAAGTTCCCTGCGCAGGGCTGGCAGGGGCCATGAGGACCCATGGGAAATGTCCCTAGGGCTCCAGGAAAGAGGAGATTTCCCAGCCCCACCCACCAACAGCCCTTCCACTGCCAGCAGGATTCTGCTGGGCTGAGGAGTCAGGCCCACTCAGAGCCCACAAGGGCACTCCCAGTGCAGCCTCTGCCCAGGGGCCCCTGAGCTGCATGGGCTCTGGACCAGACCATTCTCCTCAGACAGGCTGAGCCCCAGGGCCTGCGCCCTTCAGCCCGAGGAGGAGGGTGTTCCAAGCCTGGTCGCTCTTTGTGCAAGCCCTGGGCGTGAGGTGGTGCTGAGCATGGGAAGAGAAGGAGCAGGCTGCAGGTGGCAGGCCATGGTTGGGCTCCACTGCCCTGCATGTCCCAGAACTGGAAGAGGCCTGCAAATTCTCAGTCTGCCCAGCCATGACGATACCTAAGTGCAGGTGGGGACAGAACGTATTTTATTTCATAGTTTCTTAGCTTTTAATTCTTAAATATTGACACCATGTGGCACCTGGTGTCGAGCCCCACAAACACCAGGGCAGGCCTGTGGCAAACAGACCAGTGTCTCTGCCACTTTCCAATAACTGGTGCTAAAAACTACATTTTTAATGAAAACCCAATGCACTCATCTGTGTGTAAGTATTCATATTTAGGAAGAGCAAGAGAAAATATAACCCCAACAAACACTTCACGAAATATTCCTCTGACTCACGCTGTGCCTTCTGCTGTTTTCATCCGTGCTCTGTTCTAGGATGGCCTATTTCACTCTGTAAATGCTAGTTGTGCCCCTAGATTAATGTCCCCACCCGCGATGGTCTTGAAAAGGACGAGAGCATCGAGACGGCCTGGAGGAAACATCTCTGGGTACTTGGTGCATATTGCAAGGGTCCAGCAAAGCAGCAGAGAAGAGAGTAGGAGAATCTCTTCAGGATAAACGGGGCAGGGTAGGATTTCCCAACACACAAAGGGAATGTCTGGGCACAAAACCATTTACAGCTTGTTGTGGGCTGGGTGTGGTGGTTCATCCCTATAATCCCAGCACTTTGGGAAGCCAAGCTGGGAAGATCACCTGAGGTCAGGATTTTGAGACCAGTTTGGCCAACATGGCAAAACTCTGTCTCTACTAAAAAATTACAAAAATTAGCCAGGTGTGGTGGTGCACGCCTGTAATCCCAGATACTTGGGAGGCTGAGGCAGGAGAATCGCTTGAACCGGGGAGGCAGAGGTGACAGTGAGCTGAGATGGTGCCACTGCACTCCAGCCTGGGCGACAGAATAAGACTCCATTTCAAAAAATAAATACATAAATAAAACTTGTGATAAAAAATATCATAGAAATAACATACGTAGAATGTGTAAAGCATGCTCACAAATAAGACCGCAGCCCAACACAGAACGAGCAAAGGAAAACACCAAAGATACAAGAGGCCGCAGACATGGAAGGAGCAGCTCATCCTTCCTAGTCATCAGGAAAATCCAATTCGAGCAGAATCTGTGTCTCACCGATCAGGATGGGAAAATGCACAAGTGTACAGTGACACCAAGTGGCACCTAGAACCTGGGACAACATGAACTCACACAGAGGCAGGATTCTGCTGGGCTGAGGAGTCAGGCCCAGGTGATCGTGGAGGCTGGGACACTTGGGAGAGCAGCCTGGCCAGGCTCAGAGAGGGGACAGCAGTGTCATTAGGACCCAGCATGCTCCCTAGAGGGACTCAAGCTCAGACACGGAGCCATCTTGCCCATGCTAGGACACACACCTCAATGTCACATCTGGATGAGGCCTGTGGATCTGAATTCTCATCCAGCTCCCAGATGTTGCTAAGGCTTTAAAGTGACCACAGTTGAAAAAGCACGGAACCAGACCATATGGGTTCATCCCACAGAGTATTCATCCCGGGGACTCTTATAATGATGGGAACCTGGAAATAACCTAAATGCCCACCAGTATGGAAAGATGTTAAAATTAGAGCCTATTTAAAAAGTGAAGTGTTTTGCACCTGCTAAAATGAATGTGCCAAATCTACACGCGTCACCACCAGCATAGCGTGCACTGAAAGGCACACTGCAGACGAGAGTGGACACTGCACATGTGTGTGTTAAACTCACGCCTGTGGTAAAGGTGCAGCGACAGGGCTCTGAAGGGCATGCATACCTTTCGCAAGAGTGTTTTCCCTTGGCACAAGGTGCAGGGGCTGAGTACAGACGGGGTAAAAGCTCAGCTGTGACTAAGTGTTTTACATACTTTAAAAAAATCACACTCCGAAAAGGTTGAGTATCCCCATCTGAAATCCTGGGGACCGGACTGTTTGGATTTGGGATTTTTTAGGATTCTGGAAAATTTACATTATGCTGACTAGCTGGACATCCTTAAAAAAATCTTAAATCCGGCCAGGAGCAGTGGCTCATGCCTGTAATCCCAGCACTATGGGAGGCCACGGAGGGTGGATCACCTGAGGTTGGGAGTTTGAGAACAGCCTGACCCACATGGAGAAACCCCATCTCTACTAAACATACAAAATTAGCCGGGTGTGGTGGCACACACCTGTAAAAGGTTTTGGATTTTGGAGCACTTCAGATTTCCGATTTTCACACTGGGGATGCTCCGCCTGTACAGCCATTTGAAAGGCATTTGAAGGTTTCTGTCTTCAAAAAGCAATGGCCAGGCTACAGTGAGAGTCAAGGAAGGTGTCCGGGCTGAAAAGAAGTTTTCCATCCTGCCCGTCTGCTAGAGCCATCGAGCCCGTGTGGGTATGAAACACTCCTGGCTAGCCGAGACGTCTGCTCATGCTGGTTCCACAAAATAAGCCAGCCAGGCCTGCTCGTGAGCACCTGTGGTCCCAGCGACTCAAGAGGCTGAGGCAGGAGGATCACTTGAGGCCAGGAGTTCAAGGCTTCCGTGAGCCATGATCCTGCCACTGCACTTTAACCTGGGCCACAGAGCAAGACTCCCTCTCTAAAAGAAGAAGGAAAAGGGGAAAACACTCTTACTATCATAACACTGGGAGCTCCTGCTTTCTGAGCTCACCCTGGTTCCAACTCAGAGGTTCAGAACCTCTGACAGCCGAGGGCTGGGCCCTGTGTTCTGGGAAAGGATGCTGCCCACCAGTTCCATCCAGAGGGAGGACTGGAGGGGACAGGAGGGATGGCCCTGGGTCAGGCACCCATACTGACAGTGGAAGGAATGGTATGTGCCCACCCAGTAGACCCCCATGCTGCCACCAGGCACCGCTTCCCTGAGCTGCAACACGGGCACAGCCCTTGAAACCCAAGGAGGCAACACCGTGGCAGGGCCATGGCCCAGCAGGCGCTCTCAGGTCTGGCCCTGCTCTGTGAGCTTACATGTGATCCAGGTTCCAGGTACCGAAGAGGATCCTGCTCTCCCTGTTGCTGTAGGGGTTGATGGAGTGTCTCGACAAGCAGCTGTCCATGTCAAAGGGACCCTGGGGGCAAAAAGAGAGCAAGGGAAGGCCAGGAAGTGAGTTTCTTTTTGTTTTTTTTTTTTTTGAAACACTGTTGCCAGGCTGGAGTGCAGTGGTGTGATCTCAGCTCCCACTCCCTGCAACCTCCACCTCCTGGGTTCAAGCGATTCTCCTGCCTCAGCCTCCTGAGTAGTTGGGACTACAGGCACGCACATCCACGCCCAGCTAATTTTTGTATTTTTAGTAGAGACAGAGTTTCACCGTGTTGGCCAGGATGGTCTCAATCTCTTGACCTCGTGATCCACCTGCCTCCACCTCCCAAAGTTCTGGGATTACAGGCGTGAGCCACCGCACCTGGCCAGAGTGAGTCTCCTATGCCGTCTCTATCACCAGGCGACATGCTTTGGACGTGCAGCCCCACCCAGAGCTCGTGTTGAAATGTTGTCCCCAGTGTGGGAGGTGGGGCCTGGTGGGAGTGATGGATCACAGGGGTGAATTTCTCAGGAAGGGTTTAGCCCATCCCCTCGGCGCTGTCCTCGACACAGTGAGTCCTCCTGAGATCTGGTTTAAAAGCGTGTCGCGCCCACCCCTCACTCCTGCTCGCTCCTGCCCCCACCACCTGAGACAATGCATGCTCCTACCTTCCCTCCCACCACACATGTTAAGTTTCCTGAGGCCCCACCCCCGGAAGCTGAGCAGATGCCACCGCCATGCTTCCTGTACAGCCTGCTGAACCATGCTTGAGCCAATTAAACCTCTTTTCTTACAAATGACCCCCTCTCTTTTTCTTTATAGCAATGCGAGAACAGCCTAACACAGCAAGTCAGGTGATCTTACTGAGAGGCGCCTCATGAGGGTGAGCGCCGATCCGTGGTGTGCTGCTTCAGGGAGATGCAGAGCTCTGTCTCTGGAATTAGATCTTTCTTTTTCCCACATTACCCCCCAACATTATGTTCTGAGTTTCCGAGGAGGACAAGGAAGTTATTGTCACTGCTACCCCTGTGATCACACACCAGCACCCCCACCTCACGGGAAGTGAGGCCAGGAAGGTGCTGACTTGCCCAGGGCAGGGCCAGCACATGAGAAGCAGGGACCCAGGCACCAGATGCCCCCTTTGCAGCTACTGCCCGAGGCTTCCTGATGTTTCCCTGTGATCCCAGTGCAGAGGCAGGGCCGTCTCACTGATGTGCGAGTCCGCGGCTTCCCTCCTTCCTGTGGTGTGTAGCCCAGCACTCAGCACAATCATTCATGCACAGACATCTGCACAGCACAGGCCCGGAGCCCTGGTGCCCACATCACTCTATGCCCCCATCATGCCAGGGACTCACAGCCTCCCGAGCAGAGCCCACTGGGTCCCACTGCCATGCCTGGCCACTTGGCCCCTCCCAGCCCACTTTTGCTCCCCACCCATCAGTCAACCCGCTCTAAAGCCCCACCCCGTCACTGGGGCCGCTCATGACTGGCCCTCTCACCCAGGACGCTGGTTGCAGCCCCTGCGGCCCCGCGGCCTCCTCTGCCTGGCTCTCCCGTCTTTCACCTTCCAGTGTGCGGGACTCACCCTGCCATCAGGGATGAAGGGTTTTTCCTCTTCGTGTCCTAGCCCCTTACACAGTGCCAGGCGCAAGGCAAGTACTCAGTGAGCGGTGAGCGACCGTAAAGTCTAAACATTAAGCCAACTTGGAAGATGTGTTTTTATGGTCAGAGACCATCACCCCGGAAGCATCTAATTGGCAGTAGCAGCAAGGAGCCTTCCCTGCTGGGAAGAAGCCCCTGCTGCCAGACCCACTGAGTGGTGCTCAGAAGATCATGGGCATCAGGGGACCTTACTGGGATCACAACTGCAGTTCGCAAACGCCGAGAGGCGCCTCAAGTTGCTTCCCACACCATGGAGCCAGGGTGTGCCCAGGACTCGCCAGAGACACAGAAGCATCACCACTAGAGGCTACACCATGCCTGCATGGTGCAGAAGGGACACCTGGGAAGGCAGCGGGAGAGCACGGGCCTGGCTTGCAGCCTCCAGAACCATGAGCAGTAATGGCTGCTGTTCCAGTCAGGGTCATCTGTTACGGCAGCCAGAGCTGAGACACTGCCCAGCCCTATGGAGACACGCCCTGGACGGGGCCCTGGAGCCCTTTTCAGGCTCCCCAGGGACGCCTATGTACACTGGAGCTTGAGAGGCACTGGCTGAGACCCTGCCACCCTCCCCAGGAATGTGAAGGCTGCATCTCTTCACAAGGCTTTGCCCAGGTAGTCCAAGGACTGAAGGTCCCCTCCCACCTCCCCCCAGAGCACATCCAGGCTGTGCTCTGCAGGCCAGCCTGGTGGCCCCAGGATAAAAGCCACACAGCTCACCTGGCAGGAGAACCAGCCTTCCGGCGTACAGAGACGGTGGCCACCCTTGGCTCCTCTGTCGAAGTAGCTACCGTTGTACTGCACAGACCGGAGCTTCTGGCACATGGAGTTGATGACCCGCAGGAATTCCTCCTGAGCCTCTGCACCCACCATGGAGGGGTAGGAGCTCACCTGGAGGAACCAAGGAAGGGCGCTGAGCCTGGCACATGGCGCCCTGAAGCCTGCACCAGCTCTCAGTCCATCCCACTCCACGGCCCTCCGAGACCCTGCCCAAGCCCAGTCCTAGGGTCAGAGGGTCTGAGTTCATGTGGCTTCCTGGCCACAGCTGGGCTGTCCCATCCTGGGAGACTCTGACCTGTGAAATGGAGGGAACCACACCAGCCCCCAGGCTGGGTAAGACAGATGAGATAACAGGCCGGGCATGGTGGCTCACACCTGTAATCACAGCATTCTGGGAGGTCGAGGCTGGCAGATCCCTTGAGGTCAGGAGTTTGAGACCAGCCTGGCCAACAAGGTAAAACAATGTTTCTACTAAAACTACAAAAAATTAGCCAGGCATGGTGGCACATGCCTGTAATCCCAGCTACTCAGGAGGCTGAGGCAGGAGGATTGCTTGAACCTGGAAGATGGAAGTTGCAGTGAGCCAAGATCACACCACCGTACTCCAGCCTGGGCAACAGAGTGAGCCTCCGTCACAAATAAAATAAAAGAAAAAGATGAGATAATAAAGTCAGCAGCCACAGCCATCCCACCCTGGTCAGGTGGGCAGTGGTCCGTGGAAGATCACCCCTGCAGGGAAGTGTCGGGATCAGTTAGCTCTGCTACAGGGAGCAGGCTGGGAAATGCAAGGGAATGTGGACAGTCACCAGGACCTCTAGGAGATGCAGAAAAACATGGGACATGCGGCAGAGCGTTAGCAATTGTGCCGAAAAGAGGGGTGGGCTGAGGGCACAGGGGTCAACCACACAGGCAGCACTGGGACAGGACACCCCTCACAAGAGTCTCCACAGCACCCTACATGTACTAATGATGTACCGTGGCATGGTGTGGCATGCTACGTGATGACAAAACCCACATTCAGATGGGGTGGATGGAAATGAGGGCAGAGCTGGCTCTACCTTTGGGAGGAAAGAGGAGAGGTCTGCAGACCAAGGATGGGCTCATGAGAAGGGCCGGGTGGTGGACGATGGGTGGCAGATGACAGGGTGTTGGGTGACAGGGTGGCAGGTGACAGGTGACAGGGTGGCAGGTGATGGGTGACAGGTGACAGCGTGGCAGGTGACGGGTGACAGGTGACAGGAATATGGGTGACAGGGTGATTTATACCTGTATTGTGCTGCCTAGACCCTCAGACCCCTGCTAGCACCTGCTGACCTTGGTCACAGTTGGGCAAATGACAACTCAGGCTCTGGGCATCCTCTCCCGTCTGCCCTGATGTTCATCACTGCTGCCCAGGAATAACCCCTGCGGGGAGGAGGGGAGGCAGGCAGTAGCTCCCACCGTCCCCCTCCCCAACCCCAGTGAGCTCAAGCTCAGGTGAAAAGACTCCATGGGTGCTGGCCCCCATGAAGAGAGCTGTGCAGAGCCAACACAGTGGGACACAAGGCCCTGCAACCTACCACAACCCAGACACTTCTTTCCTTCTTTTTTTTTTTTTTTTGAGAGAGTGTCTCACTCTGTTCCCCAGGCTGGAGTCCAGTGGCGTGATTTTGGCTCATGGCAACATCTGACTGCAGGGTTCAAGCAATTCTCCTGCCTCAGCCTCCCAGGTAGCTGGGATTACAGGCATATACCACCACACTCAGCTAATTTTTTGGTTTTTTAGTAAAGACTTTTTCACTGTTAGGCAGGCTGATCTCAAGCTCCTGGCCTCAAGGGATCCGCCTGCCTTGGCCTCCCAAAGTGCTGGGATTGCAGGCGTGAGCCACCATATCCAGCCCAAAACAGGGCCACCTCTACCATTAGAGACAGGCCCCACTCTCCACTCTGCCCCTCATTTGTCATCTCGGTCTATTTCTTTGTTCAAAGGAAGCAAAAGAGCAATCAGGCCCAGGCAATGGACCAGAAGGCTGAATTCTCCCTGAAGGCAAAGAGCAGTTCCCACTGAGAGCTTTTATGCTCAAATCTGCGTGGATCTTTCTCTCATGTCCTGGAGAAGGAGGGGCTGGTCTGTTTTAAAAGGCAGGGCTCAGACCCAGCAATAACTCAAAGCATCTCTGAAAAGCATCTGGTGCAGGGAATGCCCCTCGCCGTTTCCACATCTCAGGTCAGGTGCCTGTGTGGCACCACAGGAGGGAAATGAACGAGCCAGCCGGGACACAGAAGACACTGCCCAGCTGTGGAGGGACGTGGCAGAGCGAAGGGCGGACGGAGACACGGGGCTGCCTGGGACAAGTACATGTCAGAAGTGAACTGCCTGACACGTGAAGATATTCAAAGGTCAGTTTTACTCAAAACAAACCACACTGCAGGGGAAATGCTGCCCTGCCATGGGCAACAGCAGCCCCAACCCTAGGGCAGCCGCCCCAGCGGGTGTGAGCATCCCACTGAGAAGGGAAGTCCGGCGCCAGCCGGGGAAAAAGCCGACAAGTCAGTGAGGCCGATGCTCCTCCCAGCTTGGGGTCCTCATTCTGGCTTCCCCGATCAGAGCAGCCCTGTCAGATCCACACAAGCACAGAGTGTGGCCCTACCCACTGCTCATCATGAGGCCAACAAGCTTCCAGAGCCTGCGGAGCCTGGCTTCAAAAACCCATCCAGCATACCCGACCCTCACATGGGCTCACCTCCCTCAGGTAACTCCGGATCCGGCTCTCACAGCTGTATCTCAGATAGCCAGACTTACTCTGAAATCGAGACTCCAAGCCTGCAAGGAAAATGAGAAGACCCCCAAGCCCATGGGGAGGCCAGGGGTTTCCCGGTCTATGTCCTGCCCAGCTCAGGTGCCAAGCAGCACTGCAAGTATCTTTTCATCTTTTCTTCCTTTTTTTTTTCTTTTTTTGAAACAGGGTCTGGCTCTAGCCTCCAGGCTGGAGAACAGTGGCATGAACACAGCTCACTATAGCCTTGACCTCCTGGACTCAAGGAATCCTCCAGCCTTAGACTCCCAAGTGGCTGGGACTACAGGCACGCACCACCACACCTGACTGATAATTTATTTTTTGTAGAGATGAGGTCTCACTTTGTCACCTAGGCTGGTCTTGAACTCCAGGGCTCAAGCTGTCTTCCCACCCTGGCCTCACAAAGTGCTGGGATGACAAGCATGAGCAGCCACACCCGGCCAGACGGCACCACCTTGAGAATTATTCTGATAGTGACACGCACAGTGTCCTTGTTTGGTTTTTGTGTTAGAAGCACCTGAAATACCACCAAGGAGCTTCTGCCTGGCCCTCAAGCCCTCCTTTCCTGAAAGGGCTACAGTCTTTCAGCATCGCCTCAGATGGACCTACAAGGCCAGGCCAGAAGGTAGAAGCAACCCGGTGTCAGTGAATACAAGGCCAGGGCAGAAGGTAGAAGCAACCAGTGTCAGTGAATAGAGTGTGGCATGTACATGCAGTGGAGTGAATAGAGCATGGCATGTACATGCAGTGGAGTGAGTAGAGTGTGGTGTGTCCATGCAGTGGAGTGAATAGAGCATGGCGTGTACATGCCGTGGAGTGAATAGACAGTGTGGCATGTACATGCAGTGGAGTGAACAGTGTGGTGTGTACATGCAGTGGAGTGAGTAGAGCGTGGCGTGTCCATGCAGTGGAGTGAATAGAGCATGGCATGTACATGCAGTGGAGTGAACAGACCGTGGCGTGTACATGCAATGGAGTGAATAGAGCGTGGCGTGTACACGCAGTGGAGTGAATAGACAGTGTGGTGTGTACATGCAGTGGAGTGGATAGAGCATGGCACGTACATGCCATGGAGTGAATAGAGCGTGGCATGTACATGCAGTGGAGTAGATAGAGCGTGGCACGTACATGCCATGGAGTGAATAGAGCATGGCGTGTACATGCAGTGGAGTGAATAGAGCGTGGCATGTACATGCAGTGGAGTGCATAGAGCGTAGTGTGTACATGCAGTGGAGTAAATAGAGCATGGCATGTACATGCAGTGGAGTGAATAGAGCGTGGTGTGTACATGCAGTCAAGTGAAAAGACAGAGCGTGGCAGGTACATGCAGTAAAGTGAATAGTCAGAGTGTGGTGTGTACATGCAGTGGAGTGAATAGACAGAGTGTGGTGTGTATATGCAGTGGAGTGAGTGAACAGACGGTGTGGTGTGTGCATGCAGTGAAGTGAATAGACGGTGTGGTGTGTGCATGCAGTGGAGTGAATAGACGGTAGATGGTGTGGTGTGTGCATGCAGTGGAATGAATAGACAGAGTGGTATGTACATGCAGTGGAGTGAATAGACAGAGTGTGGTGTGTACATGCAGTGGAGTGAATAGACAGAGTGTGGTGTGTACATGCAGTGGAGTGAATAGACGGTGTATTGTGTGCATGCAGTGGAGTGAATAGACAGTAGACGATGTGGTGTGTGCATGCAGTGGAGTGAATAGACAGTGTGGTGTATGCATGCAGTGGAATGAATAGACAGAGTGTGGTGTGTACATGCAGTGGAGTGAATAGACAGTGTGGTGTGTACATGCAGTGGAGTGAATAGACGGTGTATTGTGTGCATGCAGTGGAGTGAATAGACAGAGTGTGGTGTGTACATGCAGTGGAGTGAATAGACAGAGTGTGGTGTGTACATGCAGTGGAGTGAATAGACGGTGTATTGTGTGCATGCAGTGGAGTGAATAGACAGTAGACGATGTGGGGTGTGCATGCAGTGGAGTGAATAGACAGTGTGGTGTGTGCATGCAGTGGAATGAATAGACAGAGTGTGGTGTGTACATGCAGTGGAGTGAATAGACAGAGTGTGGTGTGTACATGCAGTGGAGTGAATAGACAGTGTGGTGTGTACATGCAGTGGAGTGAATAGACAATGTGGTGTATACATGCCATGGAGTGACATTCAGCCTGCAAAAGAAGGAAATTCTGATATATGCTATGATATGAATGAACCTTGAGGACACTGTGCTGAGTGAAATAAGCCAGTCACAAAAGGGCAAATACTGTGTGATTCCAGTCATATGAGTCATCAAGAGTCATTAAATCAGAGACACAGAAACTGGAACGAGGGTAGGGGGAAGGGGGAGTGAGTGTAATGGGGACAGAGGTTCAGCTTTGCAAGGTGGAAGGAGTTCTGGAGAGGACGGTAGTGGTGGCTGCACACAATGTGACTGTACCTAATGCGAATGCCCTGTGCACTAAAAAATGGTTGAGATGCTAAATTTTATGTCATGTTTATCTTACCACAATTTGTAAAATAATAATAGGCCAGGTGCAGTGGCTCACACCTGGCAGCAAATCCCAGCAATATCCCAGCACTTTGTGAGGCTGAGGCACACGGATCACCTGAGGTCGGGAATTCGAGACCAACCTGGCCAACATGGCAAAACCTCATCTCTACTAAAAATACAAAATTAGCTGGATGTGGTGGCAGGCACCTGTAATACCAGCTACTCAGGAGGCTGAGGAGGGAGAATCACTTGAACCTGGGAGGCAGAGGTTGCAGTGAGCCAAGATCATGCCACTACACTCCAGCCTAGGCAACAGAGTGAGACTCCATCTCAAAAAAATAAAAATAATAAAAAGTCCCTTGGCCATGTGTGATGGCTCATGCCTGTAATCCCAGCACTTTGGGAGGCCGAGGTGGGTGGATCACGAGGTCAGGAGATTGAGACCATCCTGGCCAACATGGTGAAACCCCATCTCTACTAAAAATACAAAAATTAGCTGGGTGTGGTAGCACATGCCCATAGTCCCAGGTATTCGGGAGGCTGAGGCAGAAGAATTGCTTGAACCCAGGAGGCGAGATGGAGGTTGCAGTGAGCTGAGATCACACTACCACACTCCAGCCTGGCGACAGAGCAAGACTCCATCTCAAAAAGTCTCATCCGAGGGCTACCCAGACTCTGGCCCCCATGTGAGGGGTGGGGGTGCCTTTCCCACGAGGCCAGGAAATGAGCACATTTTGTTCTGGCAAGGAAATGAGCACATTTTGTTCTGGCCGGGAAATGAGCACATTTTGTTCTGAGTCCCCCACCTCAACCACAGGGTTACAGGCCAGCCCTTCATTGGGGGCTTTTTGGACCCCAACTTCTCCTGGCACCACAGGCTCCAAAGAAGCCCCTCCCCTGCCAGCAGCAGCATCCACGCACCTTCAAACCACGGCGGGTCCTCAACCCGGGTCTCGGCCGCAATGTTCTGGGTGGCGTTGTGTAGGAGGTCAGCCAGTAGCCTCTGCCTCTGCGGGGCCCGCTCATCACACAGCAGCTGCTGGGCGGCCTGGATGAGGCCCGCGTGTGGCTCGTGAAACGCACTGAGGAAGCGCCTGATGTCACTCACATCTGCCACCAAAGGGACAAACAGAAAGGTGCCAGTCCAGCAGAAGACACATCCTGCCCTGGTCACAAGAATAGCCTCCGACTCCATCTTCCCCATCACTCAGGGCCTGGAAATCACCAGGACTCAGACTCAAGGTGTCCCGGGCCTTTGTCCTTGCCCTGACACCAACAGCTGGGGACCACACATCAGGGTGGCATGAGGACAGGGAGGAAGGGGCGGGTTGTGCTTCAGAAGACAGATGAAAGCGCACCAAGAGACGGCTGCTTCCCCATTTGGCCTCTCCTCTCAACCACACTGTCCCTCCTTCAGCCCTTCCTGGAGACCTTGCTTTCAGACCTTTTCCTGCTCTCTCCTGGAGCCTTTTCAGAACTCCCTGAAGCAGACTGCTCTCCAGGAAAGCACTTAATAGAAAGTTAAAACAAAGTCTACCCAGGACCTTCACAAAATGTTAGCAAAGAGAATTCAGTAACATGAGAAAAGAGGTATACACCATGGCTGAGCAGGAATGCAAGGCTAGTTCACACCTCAAAATGAATCAGTCCGATCCAGCATATTAGAAACACCTCGTGATCATATCGGCAGATGCAGAAGAAGACTCACTGTGGAGCGGGGACATGGTGGAATCCTTAGACAACATCAAAAGCACAGCATAAAAGAAAAAATCAGCCGGGCGCGGTGGCTCAAGCCTGTAATCCCAGCACTTTGGGAGGCCAAGGCAGGTGGATCACAAGGTCAAGAGATCAAGACCATCCTGGTCAACATAGTGAAACCCCATCTCTACTAAAAATACAAAAATTTAGCTGGGCATGATGGCGCGTGCCTGTAGTCCCAGCTACTCAGGAGGCTGAGGCAGGAGAATTGCCTGAACCCAGGAGGCAGAGGTTGCTGTGAGCCGAGATCGCGCAGTTGCACTCCATCCAGCCTGGGTAACAACAGCGAAACTCTGTCTCAAAAAAAAGAAAAAGAAAAAATCAACAGACAGAGCTTCCTCAAAATTAAAAACACTTACTCTGCAAAAACAATGCTCTTAAGAGAATGAAAAGATAAGCCACAGGATAAATATTTGCAAACCACATGACAAACCACATGAGTTCTGACAAAGAACTCATGTCCAGGTATTTTGGTAGGGTCGGGGGTGACTTTCAAAACATAAAAGTTAAAAAAAAAATCCAGTTAGAAAATGGATGATGGACATGAAGAAACACTTCACCAAGGAGACTCTACAGATGGCAAATAAGCATGTAAAAACGTATTTAGGGCTGAGTGTGGTAGCTCACACCTATAATTCCAGCACTTTCTGAGACTGAGGTGGGAGAATCACTTAAGCCTGGGAGTTCAAGACCAACCTAGCAATATAGCAAGACCCCATCTCTAAAAAAATAATAATAATAATTAGCTGTGCATGGTGGTGCACACCTGTAGTCCCAGCTACTGGGGAGGCTGCGGTAGGAGGATTGTTTGAGCCCAGGAGTTCAGGGCTGCAGTGAGCCATGATTGCCACTGCACTCCAACCTGGGCAACAGAGTGAGACCCTGTCTCTATTTTCCTTACTTTAAACAGCTTTATCGAAGTATAATTTCAGCCTGGGCAACAGCTTCTGTTCTAAGCAATTACTTGTTTTTTTTGTTTTGTTTTTGTTTTTGTTTTTGTTTTTTTGAAAAGGAGTTTCGCTCTTTTGCCCAGGCTGGAGTGAAGTGGTGCGATCTTGGCCCACCGCAACCTCTGCCCCCAGGGTTCAAGCAATTCTCCTGCCTCAGCCTCCCAAGTAGCTGGGATTACAGGTGCCTGCCACCACACCAGGCTATTTTCTGTATTTTTATTAGAGACGGGGTTTCACCATGTTGGCCAGGCTGGTCCCAAACTCTTGACCTCAAGTAATCCACCAGCCTCAGTCTCCCAAAGTGCTAGGATTACAGGCATGAGCCACCATGCTCAGCCAATTTTCACCACCTGAGAAAGAAACCTCATACTCTTTCGCTACCAGTCCTCCTCCCTTCTGCCCTGCCCCCAACCCTAAACAACCACTAATCTATTTTCTGTCTCTCTAACATCCCTGCTCTGGATGTTTTCTGTGCATGGAACCTTGCTGTATGTGCTGGCATCTGGACTCCCATGGTTTCATGGCTCAGCCACTCTGTGCCTCGTTCCTCTTCATGGTGAGTGATTCCACTGGATGGATGTGCCACACTCTCTTTATCCATGTGCTCAACATTGGAGACTTGGGTAGTTTCCACTTTTGGCTATTATGAGAAAAGCTACCACTGACGCTCACGTGTGAGTTTTGGTGTGGACATGTTTTCATTTCTTTTGGGTACTTACCTAGGAGTGGAGCTGCTGGTTCATATGGAGACTCTGTGTAACTGAGAAGCTGCCAGACGATTTCCCACAGCAGCTGTGCCATTTTCCCTTCCTACCAGCCGGGCGTGAGGGTTCCAGTTTCTCCACATCCTCACCCACAATGGCTGCCATCCCAGTGGGTATGAAGTGGCATCTCACTGTGGTTTTTGTTTGCAGTTTCCTCATGACTGATGATATTGAGCATCTTTTCATGTGCTTACTGACCATCTGAATATCTTCCTTGGAGACATTTCTATTCAGAACCTTTGCCATGTTTAATTGGTTTGTCTTTTTACTATTAAGTTATAAGGATTCTTTGTATATTCTGATGCAAGTCCCTGATCAGATACATGATTGGCAACTATTTTCTCAATTCTGTGGGCTATCTTTTAGCCTCCTTCATGGTATCCTTTGAAGCACCAAAGTTCCTAAATTTTCTATTTCTGAAACGGAGTCTTATTCTGTCACTCAGCCTGGAGTGCAGTGACATGATCTCGGCTCACTGCAGCCTCTGCCTCCTGGGTTCAAATGATTCTCCTGCCTCAGCCTCCTGTGTAGCTGGAATTACAGGCACCTGCCACACACCCAGCTAATTTTTGTATTTTTAGTAGATAGGGAGTTTCACCATGTTGGCCAGGCTGGTCTGAAACTCCTGACCTCAAGTGATCTGCCCATCTCGGCCTCCCAGAGTGCTGGGATTACAGGCATCGAAGCAGGAGCAGCTGGGAACAAACCTCTCGAACACTGAACTGGGGAAGGAAGTGGCTTTTGATATGGCTGGGAGCTTCGGGGGCAACAGCCTCATTCACCAAGCTCCCCGAGCTGCAGCTTTTCTCCCCTTTTACAGGTTTACAACGCTAAAGGGGAAACCGAGGCAGGACTATGTCATTGTCCATTTGCTGGACATCCGACCTTACAATCTTTTGGCTTCATTGATTTGCTAATTCATATGCAGCGTGAGCGGCGACCAGCTGGGGAGGGGGCTTACAGAGACAAGATGAAAGCAACAAGCTGTCTGTTGGCAGAGGTGTTTCCAGGAGGGAGCCTGGTCGTGGAGACCTGGGGGCGTGACCCAGTGCCAGGCTCCACCCGGCAGGGATAGCATTCATTTGTTATCCTTCAAGGTTAACCAATAGCAGAGACGCTGGGAACTAAAGAGGGAGTCATTTCCCAGCTCTTTGGTATCTTATTTTGTTTTTTTCTTCACCCTCCCTCCCATCTGGAAGCGGGGGATGGAGGAGGTGAAATAGACGGAGGAGGTGGTGAGGGGGGTCTCCCCTCTTAGCATGAGCCACCATGCCCAGCCCAAAGTTCTTAATTTTGATGAAGTCCAATTTACCTGTTTTATCTTCTGCTGCTCATGTTTTGGTGTCAAATCTAAGAATCCTTTGCCCAATCCAAGGTGATGAGGACTTACCCCTATGTTTTCTTCTAAGGGTTTTATATTTTTAACTTTCACATTTAGGTCTTTAAGTTAATTTTTGTATAAGGTACCAGGTAAGGGTCCGGCTTCATTCTTTCATATGTGAATATCCAGTTGTCCCAGTAAGATTTGCTGAAGACAGTATTCTTTCCCCCACACTAAAAGGTCCTGGCATCCTGACCACAGATACATAGATCTCTGAGTGCTCTATTCTATTCCTCTGATATGTATCTGTCCTCATACCAGTGCCAGTCTTCACTACTGTGGCTTTGTAGTAAGTTTTGAAATCAGGATATATGGGCCCTCAGACCCATATATCCTGATTTACGGTTGTTTTAGCTATTCCGGGTCTCTTGGGATTCCACATGAACTGTGGATTAGAATCAGCATGTCAATTGCTACAATGAAACCAGCTGAAATTTTCACAGGGATTGTGCTGAATTTGTAGGTCAATGTGGGGAGTTCCACCACCTTAACAACGTTCACTTTTCCAATCCGTGAACATGGGATGTTAATCCATTTATTCAAGTCTGTCATTTCTTTCAACAACATTTTGCAGTTGTCAGAATATAAGTATTACAATTTTTCATTACACTTATCCTCAGTATTTTATTATTTTTGATGCTAATGTAAACGGGATTATTTTGTTTCATTTTCAGATTGCCCATTGTAAGTATATACCTATATTCGTCTATGGACCTTGTATCCTTCTGCCTTGCTAAACTTGAGGATTAGTTCTAATCATTTTTTAGCAGATTCCTTAGGGTTTTCTATATGTAGGTTCATGTGATCTGCAAACAGAGACAGCTTCACTGTTTCCTTTCCAGCCTGGATGCCTTTTGCTTTTTTCACCGAAATGTCCTGTCTAGACCCTGCAGTGCCACACTAAACAGAACCGGCAAGAGTGGACATCCTTGTCTCCAGAAACTAAACACACACCACACAATGCAGTACTGCACTCCTGGGCATTTTACCCAGAGGAATGAAAACCTGCATCCCACCAAAACCTGCAAAGATGGCCAGGTGCGGTGGCTCACACCTGCAAAGATGGCCAGGTGCGGTGGCTCACACCTGCAAAGATGGCCAGGTGCAGTGCCTCACACCTATAATCCCAAAACACAGGGAGGCCAAAGTGGGTAGGTCACTTGAGCTTAGGAGTTCAAGACCAGCCTAGGCAACATAAAGCCCTATTTCTAGAGAAAATACAAAAATTATCCCGGCATGGTGGTGCGCCCCTGTAGTCCCAGCTACTCAGGAGCTGAGGCAGAGGATGACCTGAGCCCAGCTGCAGTGAGATATGACTGCACCACTGCACTCCAGCCTGGGTGACAGTGAGACCCTCCCTCAAAAGAAAAAAAGAAAGAGAAAAGGAAAACCTGAACATAATTGGCCATTGCAGCTTTATTTGTAATAGTCAAAAACTGGAAACAAACAAAATATCCTTCCACAGGTGAATGGTTGAACAAACTATGGTAAAAACAAACCATGGAATACTATTCAGCAATGAAAAGGAACAGAGTTTGCACACACCCAACTCAGACGCATCTCAGGAGCCTCATGTGGAGTAAAAAAGGCCCATCTCAAAAGGTCACATACTGTATGATTCCACTTACCTACTATTCTTTAAATGACAAAATTATATACATGGAGAACATATCAGCAGGTGCTACAGGCTAGGGATTGGTGGTGGCCAGGGGCAGGCAGGACTATAAAGGGGAGAACCTTGAGTGACAGATGGAGAGGTCTCTACCTTGACCCTGATGCTGGTCACAGGTGTCTACATAGGGAGAAATGACAGAAGAACAGACACATTGCAATAGTGTCTGTGTGCCCATTTTGATGTTGTACCATGGTTGTATCTGACGTCGCCTTTGAGGGAAAGGGTGGAGGTACATGGGACCTTCCTATCTGTGCAACTTCCTGGGAATCTATCATTATTTCTAAATAAACAATCTAGTCCAGGCACAGTGGCTCACACCTGTAATCCCAGCATTTTAGGAGGCCGAGGCAGGAGGACAGCTTGAGCCCAGGAGTGTGAGACTATCCTGGGCAACATGGCGAAACCCCATCTTTACAAAAAACACAAAACAATTAGCCAGGCATGGTAGAGAATGCCTGTGGTTCTAGTTACTTGGGAGGCTGAGGAGAGAGGATAGCTTGAAACACGGAGGTTGAGGGTGCAGTGAGCCATGTTTCTGCTACTGCGCTCCAGCCTGGGCAACGAAGTCTCAAAATATAAATAAAATTAAAATTTTTTGGCCAGGCACAGTGGCTCATGCCTGTAATCCCAGCACTTTGGGAAGCCAAGGCAGGAGGACTGCTTGAGCTCAGGAGTTTGAGACCAGCCTGGGCAATAGAGCGAGACCCCGTCTCAATGTTTTTAAAAAAGAAAACAAAATTTGTTCAAGTCTAACAAATTTCGAGGAGGAGGACTAGTGGTCTCAGGGAAGAGACGGGGATAAAGCACCAGAGAGAGGAGAGACAGAGAGACAGAGACAGACAGAGGAGAGAGACAGGGACTGGGAGGGACAGAGAGCCACGTGTTCTGCTCTCTTGCAACTATGCCTGGAAATGGGAAAGAAAGGAAACGTCCAAAGGCGAGGAATATCCTGAGCACACCTCTGCCCAGCCCCGCCCCCGAAGGGGCCACCCCAGGGGCCATCACAGTGATACATGTTCTGGCTGCATCCTCTGGGAGCACAAGGCCCAGTGGAGAAAGGGTGCTTGCAACCTTGGCACACGCCAGAGGCGCCACCCCTCAGTGCTGACAACTGAGCCCCCAGCACTGCAGCCAGGGTCGTGGCCACATGGACGCTCCTCCTGGACTTCTCTCTTTCTGCCCTTTAGGCCAAGGAGGCAGAGCTCCATCCCTCAGAACCCACGCCCTTCCTGGGCACCAGAAGTGTCTCCTGAAGCCTCACCCCTTTGCACAACACGGGCCGACCCTCCCAGGCAAGGGCACATGATGGCGTCTCCCCCCACCATGCCCAAAAGTTCTCCTTTACAGAGGCCAACAAGCACAGACCTTGGCATTCAGCTGCTTCTGAAAGGCAGGACTTTGTGCCCTGAGGCTTCAGTACAGATTCCCCTAAAGAGCCACCTCTCAAATCAATTGCCCCTGAGCATGAGCTCTGAGGACAGCATCTCCTCAGAAATGCAAATGCCTACCGGGAACAACATGAGCATCCCATGGACCACCACCCTGTCCTTCCAGAAGGGCCTCAGCCCAGCAGAACAGAACAGCATCTCTTCCTGGCTCCACCTTCCCCACCAAACTGTGCAGGCCCCATCCCCAAAGCCCTCCCTCTGCTCTTGGGAATTGCTAGGACACCTCAAATGAACACAAATAAAATTAAAAGATTTTTTGTGTTTGTGAGACGGAGTCTTGCTCTGTCGCCAGGCTGGAGTTTAGTGGCACGATCTCGGCTCACTGCAACCTCCAACTCCCAGGTTCAAGGGATTCTCCCGCCTTAGCCTTCCGAGTAGCTGGGACTACAGGTGCACACGACCACACCCGGCTAATTTTTATATTTTTAATAGAGACGGGGTTTCACCATGTTGGCCGGAATGGTCTCGATTTCTTAACCTCATGATCCACCCGCCTCAGCCTCCCAAAGTGCTAAGATTACAGGAGAAAGCCACCATGCTTGGCCAATTAAAAGATTTTTTTTAAGAAAAAGACAACCAACTGAGCAACTGGGTGCATGAACGAGAAGACTGAGGACTCTGCCATCTAAGTGACACTGATCAGCTCTGACTCCAGAGGGCTTCCTCCTTGAGACCTGAGAGTTCATAGTAAGGGTGACCCTTTGCCACCCCAACAGGCACCCCAGGGCCAAGCCCCCAGGACCCCCGAGAGTGCCAGCTTCCCGCCCACCTCCAAGGTCCTTGCCACTCACAGCCCTGCCAGGCCTGGCCCGAGGTAAGCAGCACCAGCTCGGTGTCATCGGGGATGCTGGGGAAGTAGTCCTCGGTCAGCTCCGTGCCATCCTCGTACAGGCACAGCCAGGAGCCGCGCTCAGGTAGCTGCAGGGGCGGGAGAGGCGACAGGAGGAGGAAGGGTCTCAAGACAAGGGCTTTCAACTGCAGGCCTCACAAATGTCCAAAATGAGCTGTGTTGCTGTTGTGTTTTGTTTTTTCATTGTATTTTAGGTTCTACAAGCTGTGTTTAAGAAGCAGGCTCAGGCTGCCTCCTGTATATGCCACAGTGCGTCAACGCCCAGGCAAGGATGAGGGATCAGGAGCAAGAGCGCCTGACTGCAGGCCTTTCTAAAACAGGAAGAGTCAGGAAAAGCATACAGCAGGTGGCAGCCGCTTGATCTGCAGGATTCACCTTTTTAAAATGAGCTCCTGAGGGCACTTCAAATACAGCCTGTCTCTGTCAGCGCCGCCTCCCTGCTTCCAGGAGCTGGCATCACCACCCCCAGCGCACAGCCGTCATGAAACCCAGTCTGTACTAAAAATACAAAAATTAGCTGGGCCTAGTGGCACATGCCTGTAGTCCCAACTACTGGTCAGTTTTAGGCATTTTATGGCAACTCCCACCCATGCCAGGCCTGGCATGCACACCTGGTAACCCTCGTACTGGTCTAAAAAAGTACACCAATCTAAAATAAGGTGACGATTGCAATCCCCAGCTGCGAGGGCCGGAAGGGCCTGCAGAGCCCACCTAGCCGAGCCTTTCACTTTACGCAAAGGGAAGCCGAGGCAGGGAAAGGCAGAGCGGCCGCGACCCCGCGGGCCAACACCTGGCACTCAGCCCGTGTCTTCTGGCTCCGCATGCAGGGCTGTGCTGACCCAAAGGTGGGAAGAGGAAAGGAGTAATCCGGATCGCTTCCCAACCCGCCTGCGCTCCGAAGCCACGATCGGGAATCCCGGGCTCCAGGGGCCCTGGTGCACAGCGGCTGAGACGAACGAAAACCACCTTCCCCGGGTGCCGCCTGCACCCTCCGCTTTGGAAGAGGAAAAGCGGCACCTCCTATTCTCCCCACCGCCTCCCCGGCGGGCACCTGGAAGCGGAGGCAGCCCTTCTGCAGCACTTCCCGGCAGCTCCTGCCCGCCACGCCGAACTTCCTCGGGCTGCGCAGGGCCCGCAGCTTCACGGTCTTGGGCTTCTGGAGCATTGCAGATGTCCTCCAGGCCGCTGGGCCCCGCAGGTGGCGGCACCCGCCGGCCGGCTGCTCAGGCGCGTCCTCGCCCCGGCCGCAGGGGTCTGCACCAGGTGGGTTCTGCAAAGCTGGCACTGGCCGGGCGCCGATCCAGGAAACTACATTACCCAGAAGGCCTGGGAAAAGTGATGCCCTACGTGGTCCTGTGAGCTTGCGTCACCCCGCGGAAACTACACTACCCAGAAGGCTCGGGAAAGCAAAGGCGCGACATCGCCTTGCGCCCAGGTGCCCTGGCCCCGGAAACTACCTGAGCTGGAGGGCACGAGAAAGAGAGGATTCCCTTGTGCGCAGGCGCGGCCAAGGCGGGGCGGGGTCGCGCACGCGCGGAGGCCCCGGCCCAGGGCTGGGCTTGGTTGTCATGAGAGCGGTGGCTGCGGCCGGGGCGATGGACAGAAGCGGCCGGGGCTGCTCCTCCCCTACCACCGCCGCGGCAGATTGGGGTGCAAGCCAGCCTGGGGCGGCGGAGGGGGCGCCGCCTGAGTTCCACCGGAGAGAGCGGCGGATGCCGAGGTGGTCCGCGAGGACCGGGACCCGCCCGCCTTTGGGGCTCGGGCGCTGAGGCACGGCCTGGCCGCCTCCCCGGGCCGCTCCGCAGGTCCGACGCGGCCGCCCTCTCAGTCGGGGCCGCGGCAGCGCCTGTTGGGGCCGTCCACTCTGAGCAGGTACCTTCCCGGGCCGGGGCCGGACGTGGGGGCGGGGCGCGGCGCGGTCCCCACCTGGGAGCCGGGTACGAAACCTGGGCGCGGTGCCAGCCCGGACCGTGTGGGCTTAGGCTCCGGCCTTGCTGTCGCCAAAGAGCCAGCGCGGCCCCGGCGTGCCAGATGCCGGGGAGCTCAGCCCGGGTGCTGGGAGCGCCTGTCCCGCCGGCCCGTCTAGCCAGGATTTTATTTTCATGCCCGGCTTTTCCTGTTCTGGGTGCATAGCACATAGCGGGCCAGTTTCAGATGCGTTCTCCTGAGCAAAAGTTTGAAGAAGGATGCTCTGCCGCTATAGAGATTAAAGTTTGATGGTTTTGTGTTTTCGTTTTGCCCACTCAAGTTTTAGATTTGTCTGAAGCCCTTTCAGCCGCTAAGATTGCTTGACCAGAAGTCACTATTTGTGTAACACTTAAGTCTTTGAGACAGAGTCTCACTCTGTTGCCCAGGCTGGAGTGCAGCTCACTGCAACCTCCGCCTCCTGGGTTCAAGCGATTCTCCTGCCTCAGCCTCCCGAGTAGCTGGGATTATAGGTGTCCACCACGCCCAGCTAATTTTTGTATTTTTAGTAGAGGCTGGGTTTTGCCCTGTTGGCCATGCTGGTCTCGAACTTTTGACCTCAAGTAATCTGCCCGCCTCAGCCTCCCAAACTGCTGGGATTACAGAGGTGAACCACCCCACCCGGTCACACTTAAGTCTTCCTTTAAAAAAGATCTGGTTGGGCACGGTGGCTCACGCCTGTATTCCCAGCAGTTTGGGAGGTGGGTGGATCACAAATTCAGGAGATCGAGACCAGCCTGGCTAACAGTGAAACCCTGTCTCTACTAAAAATACAAAAAATTAGCTGAGGTGGTGGAGCACGCCTGTAGTCCCAGCTACTCGGGAGGTTGAGGCAGGAGAATCACTTGAACCTGGGAGGCAGAGGGTGCAGTAAGCCGATCGCACCACTGCAAATCGCACCACTGCGCTCCTGCCTGGCGACAGAGCGAAACTGCATCTCAAAAAAAAAAAGAAAAAGAAAAAGAAAATCGGAAACAAGTTTTGTTTTCCAGTCTTGTAACAAAATGGAAGTAGCTACGTCGTAGTGAGGGATGAGGCCACATGGACTCATAGCTGCCTGGGAAGAAACGCACTCTGGCACTTGTGGGGATGCCTATGGCTGTCCTTGGGACAACGGGGTTCCCACGTGACTCTGGGGAGGAAGACCAGCCAATAACGGCGCATTCAACAGAGCTTAGGTTCTTCCTGAATTGTTAATGGTGATTTTTTTAGAGGCTAAAAGTGGCATCCTTCAGGGACATTCCAAGTATTTTATGTAATGCTTGAGGGTTTACACAGAGGGGACCATAGTGTACAGCTGGAGGGTGTTTGGAGGGGTGCAAGGGTAGACTGAAAAAGGAATCCTTCTCAAATACCAGACTGAGGCAACAGCATTGCCTCCCCAGTACCCACGCATGGCTCTTAGCTGGTTCTTAAATGCCAGTGCTTTGTTTTAGATTTACTGGGGGCAATATGGCATAATGGAAACACCCTTGACTTAGAAGATCTACCTTTATGTCTTAGAGCCATAACAGAGAGTGTTGGTTAGGATCAGAGACTAGCCAGGCTCCTATGGCTCACACCTGTAATCCCAACACTTTAAGACACTAAGGTGGGAGGACCGCTGAAGGCTGGGAGTTCAAGAGCAGCCTGGACAACACAGTGAAACCCCATCCCTACCAAAAAAAAAAAAAAAATTAAGTAGTGTGCCTATAGTCCTAGCTACTCAGGAGGCTGAGACGAGGATCACTTGAGCCCAGGAGTTCAAGGTTACAGTGAGATACGATCACTCCACTGAAGTACAACCTGGGCAACAGAGTGAGACCCTGTATTAAAAAAAAAAAAAATTGGGATCAGGTGCAATGGCTCATGCCTATAATCCCAGCACTTTGGGAGTTCAAGGTAGGTGGATCACTTGAGGTCAGGAGTACAAGACCAGCCTGGCCAACGTGGTGAAGCCCCATCCCTACTAAAAATAGAAAAATTAGCCGGACATGGTGGCATGTGCCTGTAATCCTAGCTACTTGGGAGGCTGAGGCAGGAGAATCGTTTGAACCCAGGAGGCGGAGGTTGCAGTGAGCCAAGATCGCACCAGTGCACTCCAGCCTGGGCAAGAGCATGAGACTCTGTCTCAAAAAAAAAAAATCAGAGTCTGGAACCCAACAGCCTGAGCACAAGAGCTATTTTCAAGGTGGAATAGGGAGTGACAGGCCTTTCTCTTAAAAATGATGCAAGGGAAGGTGGCTCACACCTGTAATCCCAACACTTTGGGAGGCTGAGGCAGGCAGATCACTTGAGACCAGGAATTTGAAACCAGCCTGGCCAACATGGCAAAACCTCGTCTCTACTATAATATATATATATTTTTTAAATGTAGCCAGGCATGGTGGCCCATGCCTGTAATCCCAGCTACTCAGGAGGCTGAACCACAAGAATCACATGAACCCAGTAGACTCGTTGCAGTGAGCCAAGATCCTGCCACTGCACTCCAGCCTGGGTGACAGCAAAACTGTCTCAAAAAGAAAAACAGATGATGAAAGGCGACGGAGGGCTTCAGAGCTGAAGATGTTAACTTTGAGCTTTGATTATTTGGCTGGACTTCAGAATTTATCACAAGAAGTGAGGGTCAGGAGAGTTGGCGCATTAATCCCTAGATGGGGAGCCCACCGGGAGCTCTTGAGTTAGGACATGGATGGAGATGACCAGAGCTGGGCCTGAGGCATGTTCACGCAACAGGAAGTTATGACTTGTCTGAGGGAGGTGCTTGCTGTCTAGAAAACACAGTGGGATCGCAAGGAAGGGTAGGCCTGCTGAGACCTGGCACACCATTGTGTGGGGACTGGGTGAGAGAAGATGCTGTGGCCAAGGGCTCAGAGCCTGAACCACCCAGAAGTGCCAGGTCACGAAGGAGGAGGAGCCATGGACTGTGCGTTCCTGACCTAGGGTGCCTGGAGTGCAGGTCGGGCTGTGCAGCTAACAATGGGTTAAATCACACTCATCCTTTTTAAATTCTTTATTTGTTTGTTGTTTGTTTTTTTGAGAGATGGGTCTCACTCTCTTGCCCAGGCTGGTCTCGAACTCCTGGGCTCAAGCGATCCTCCTACCTCAGCCTCCCAAAGTGCTGGGATTATAGGCATGAGCCACCACACCCAGCCTCATCCTGTTTTGGGAGGCTTTTAAAAAATTATTTTCCGGGTTGGTTTAGTTTAGTTTTTCTTTAATATACAGTAATATCTTGCAGTGAACTTTGTGGAAAAAGTAACTAGGATCTCAATGATGGTTTATCATTCTATTTTAGGGCTTTTATTCATACATTCCAAGAAACATTAGCAATAATGCCGGCCAATAATCAATAGATTGAAGTGGCCCTCTTCAAATTCTCAATGAAAGTAAAAGAAAAATCTAGATCATGCATCAAGCACGTCAAAATACATAAAGTTTTATGTGGGGGTATGTTTATGTGTTACCTCCTATTGAGAATTTCATTTAATAGTGTATCTTATCCCAAATTTCTTTTTTTTTGAGACGGAGTCTTGCTCTGTCATCAGGCTGGAGTGCAGTGCTGCGATCTCAGCTCACTGCAACCTCCGCCTCCCAGGTTCAAGCAATTCCCCTGCCTCTGCCTCCTGAGTAGCTGGGACTACAGGTGTGCACCACCGTGCCCAGCTATTTTTTTTTTTAATTTAGTAGAGATGGGATTTCACCAGTTGGCCAGGATGGTCTCAATCTCCTGTCCTCATGATCCGCCTGCCTTAGCCTGCCAAAGTGCTGGGGTTACAGGCGTAAGCCACGCGCAGCCCCAGAGAACTTTCTGATGGAGTCTTCTCATCCTGGTTTAGTGAGGAGCCTTTTTTCCACCATGATTTAGACTTAACTCAAATTGGCTTACTTAGGAGGAATTTGACTGGCTTAGTAACTGAAAAGCAACTCAGAGTCCCCGAGCACATCGGCTCAGTGTCCTGAGTCCGTCCCTCAGCCTGACTCTGCCGTACTTTTAGTGTTTCATGTGCCTTTCCGGTTCCTGCCCTTCCTCTGCTCATACATGTTCATTGAGCGGTTACTATGCTGCTCTTACATTGCCTTTTTCCCCTTGTGATTGTATAACTTATTAACATACTGGTCGTATTAGTTTTCTAACTAATACAGAAAGTTTGTGTGTATATTCCAGCCAAAAAATATTTTTGCCATAACAAAATATCATAAACTGGATAGCTTAAAACAACAGGAATTCATTCTGGAGGCAGAAGTCGGAAGGCGGTGTGGGCAGCGCCCACCCTCGCTCTGGAGGCTTTAGGGGAGGATCCTTCATAGCCCCTATGCCTGCTGGCCGGCCTCGGCACTCCTTGGCAGTCCTCGGCAGTCCTCAGCAGTTCTCAGCAGGCCCGGCTTAGAGATGTGTCGCTCCGGTCACTGCCTCTGTCACACGTGACGTTCTCCCTTTGTGTGGCTGCGCCTCTTGCCTCCTTCTTATAAGTCACGTTGGATTGGGCCCACCCTGAGGACCTGGTTTTAACTAGATCACACTTACATAGACGCTGTTTTCAAATAGGGTCACATTCACAGGACCACAGGCAGTACTTGAACCTGTCTTTTTGGGGAATGTAATCCACAATGCTGGTCAAACTTTTTGGACAAATATTTGGGGAAAGGTCAAGATAACTTATATGGTACTTTAAAGAGAATCAGAAGCATTTGTAAGAAGTGTTTAACAACAACCAAAAAAGGCTCTTTTGAAGAGATGGGAAGAGTCTGAAGAGTTAGTGCCTTGTGTGTGTTACCAAGGCATGAACTAACACTTTAAGTGTTCATGTGTTAGTGAATTCCTGCATTTTAAAGAAATCTTTCCTGCTCTTATAAACAGCCGAGGCGTGCAGAATGCCCCACAAGATTGGATTTGTAGTCGTCAGCTCATCTGGACACGAAGACGGCTTCAGTGCCCGGGAGCTCATGATCCACGCACCAACCGTCAGCGGGTGGCGGTCACCGAGGTGAGGGCTGGACAGGGTGGGACTTGGGCTGGGAGGCAGCCTTGGGTCCCTGAGGAGGGCACGGGGCTTCTTTCACTCAAAGCCTCAGATTTTGCTGTAACTCAGATATCAGGACCAAGGATGTCAGCGTGCGTTACAGTGTCGACATCTCTTTCTGTTTAGATTTTTAAAGAAAATGTGTAGACCCTCTTTCCCTTATAACATTCACGCACACTCCCTTAAGAAGGTGTGGGGATGTGGAGACGAAGGAGGAGAAGTGAGGCCCTGTAACTAACCGCATTCCCTGACCACACGCTGGGCCGCACATTCTTGCGCAGAGGTTGTGCATGCAGCTCTGTTCGCTGTCACAGTGGTGCTGCTGTGATGAGAGTGTGTCTAACTGCTTTTATCTGACCCCAAGCTTTAACCAGAAACGTGTCTTTCACAGTTCTCTTAAACAAGCATATACTTTTATTACAATGTTCAGTTGGGCACAGTGGCTCCTGTCCTAGTCCCAGCTACTCAGGAGGCTGAGACAGGAGGATCGCTTGAACCCAGAAGTCCAAGGCTGCTGTGAGCTATGACAGCCCCTGCACTCCAGCCTGAGAGACAGAGTAAGACTCTGTCTCAAAACAAATGTTCATTATATGAGCATTTTGCTTGATTATTTTCCTAAAACACTTGAGTCTTCTTGCCTCTGCTGCTTTTATGTTTACAGCTGAGTGCCTTCATGCACTCCCTTGGTGTCTGCCCTCACCCTAAGTCATGTGATGGAAAGTCTGTCCTCTGTCCCGTCCCGCCTCCTCAGCGATGTGCTCTCCATGACTTGCTTTCACGTCTGACAAGTTACTATTCATTCCTAACTCACGAATGTGTAAATGTGCGTGACATTTTAAGTTCAGTCACATAATTGTGTCTTGCTTTTATTCCGAAGACATGTTGCAGAAAATTGAATGTAAATCTCATTTAAAGTGAAAATGTATGTTCAAACTGTGTACAGTTTTTGGAGTTTTTGAGGAGCTTTTGGAGTTTTGAGGAGTTTTGAAGTTTTTGAGGAGATGAAACAAGTAAGACTCCCCCGTCCCTGCATTTCCCGGAAGTGAGTTCTGAATGAACTGAGAAATGAAGCAAGAGTCAAGCAGAAGCAGGCAGACGGCACCTCTGTCACCCACGGAGCTGGGATTGCCAGCAAGGGAACATCCTGATACTGCCCAGGCCGTGACAGACACACTGTCCATGCAGGCAGCATTAACAGGGTCCAGCCTGTGGCTGGAGGGCAGGAGGAGCACCCCCACAGGGGCAGCCCAGTGCTCCTGCCCTCTCCTCCCAGACTCCCCATGTGAGCTTGCTCCTGCCTCTCCCAGGCAGCAGCATCCCCTCTGCAGAGGTCCTGTACGCTGACTGCAGTTGTTCCATGTTTATGTGGGGACTGAAGGTTCTCAAGTGTACACACAGCTACCCTTCTGGTTCAGCCTATAAAGGTCACACCAGTATGGTTCTCTTGTGCACTGACATGGTATTTCTTTAAAGGGCATAACCTATACTTACTTTAGTGATGTACCAAAGAAAAGGATCTGTGTGCCCTTGGTCACCACAGACTCCCACTGGGTTTGGCTCAGGGGTCTCCTGACTTCCGGAGCTCAAGCACGTCGCAGAAAGACAAAGGAGGACAGCCTGAAGCCCAGCCTGCCAATGGCAGGACAGGGGGCTCTGTTACCACACTCATAGAAAATGTAGGACACTCTACATCGGAACTCGGCATATATCGATGCAGTTCCAGGAGAGGCACTTCAGGGGGGTTACAAGAGACCCAGGGAGACCCCCCGCCGTGCCGTTCATGTGACCTCAGAATTCACAGAGCCTAAGCTCTTCCAAGGAAGACATTTTTCCAGGAAAGTATAAAGGTTGCACCAACCGCAGCCTCTGGCCATCCATTTTTTGGTCGTCAAATGATTTTTATTTTTAAAAATCTATATCTGTCCATTTATCTTGAAAGGATAAATATTAGCCTTTTTAGCTGTGTGGTTTCTTTTTATATTCAGCTTGAAAGGTATTTTTGATTCATCTGTAAACTGTTCATCAACTACATTTGAGTAGCTTAATCATAGCCCCTTTTTGGAAGTACAGTCCTACATCCCTCAACGGTGGGGACACATTCTGAGAAATGCACCATCAGTCAGTTTTATGGAACACCTGGAGTGTGCTCAGACCCAGATGCAACAGCCTGCGCCTGCACACCTCAGCTCTGTGGCATGGCCAGTCACTCCTGGGCGGCACACCTGCACAGCACGTGACTGTGCTGAATACGGTAGCAGCTGGGGCACAGGTAGGTATCTATATCTAAACAGGGAAAAGCTAAGTCAGAATACAGTGTTGTCATCCTAGGGGACCACTGTGTCATGCAGTGTGTGACTCTATACAGCTTCAAAGCTTAGCCGGTTGTCTTGGTTTTTTTAAACAGTTTTGGAGTTTTGTTGTGGTGGTGGTGGTGGTTCTTAATAATCAAGGTTTTTAAGTAATAGATTACTATTGCCCTTATGTTCAGTTACTCTCATCACGAATTATAATATACGTGCCCTGCATTTAAAAGCAGTAACTATCTAAAGCAGCACTTTACTGAAATGAAAGACTAAAGAATTTCATTTCAAAAGTTACTCGGTTTTGCAGTTTGTGCCTGCCCCAAATGTGCCTCTCTTGAAGCTTTGTGTTTTTGGAAGCAGTGTGGGGTCTTTGCTGACTGCTGCAATCCTCTAACCAAATCTTAGTTTTTTAATATGTTATGTCACTTTTGGGCCGGGCACAGTGGCTCGCACCTGTAATCCTAGCACTTTGGGAGACTGAGTGGGAAGGATCCCTTGAGCCCAGGAGTTTAAGACTAGCCTGGGCAAAAATTTTTTTCTTGTTTTTTTTGAGACTGAGTCTCACTCTGCCACCAGGCTGGAGTGCAAGCGGGATCTTAGTTCACTGCCAACTCCACCTCACGGGTTCAAGCAATTCTCCTGCCTTAGCCTCCTGGGACTATAGGCGTGCACCACCACACTCAGCTAATTTTTGTATTTTTAGTAGAGATGGGGTTTCACCATGTTGGCCAGGATGGTCTCGATCTCTTGACCTCGTGATCTGCCTGCCTTGGCCTCCCAAAGTGCTGGGATTACAGGCATGAGCCACCACGCCCAGCCGCAAAATTTAAAAAAATAAAAATTATCCAGGTACAGTGGCACATGCCTGTGGTCCCAGTTCATCTGGAGGCTGAGGTAGAAGGATCCCTTGAGCCCAGGAGATCAAAGATGCAGTGAACCATGATCACACCACTGCAGCCTGGGTGATGGAGCGAGACCTTGTCTCAAAAAAAAAATTATGTCACTTTTGAGCAAAGTTAGATGCTGCAGCGCTGGCCATAGTGTAGGCTTCTCTCCCGAGAGCACTCTGCGTGAATGGTAGGCGTGCCTTCAATGTTGATACCTGGGGTCCTTAAGCATTTGGGTTCCTGTAGAAAATCCTTTGGTTCCATCCTGCCCTCTAGTGCCGCCTTGTAAGATTGATTTATCTTATGTGAAACCTCAGGTTTCACGTCAGACCATTTACTAGCCGCCAAAAGTATGGTTCCTGTAGGGTTGCAGGCAGATCAAGTCAAATTTTAATTCCAAGCTTCAGCTCTGATGCGAAAAACTCGAGAGAATGGGAATGGGTCGCAGGCATCTTTGTACCGTCAGGGCTCCAGACTGTCCAGTTCACAGCGGGGTGTGGTTCATGCCTCTTACCTGCAAGAATGAGATGCTAGGCCCTGGAAACCCTCTGCAGGAATGGTTCAGAAGAAATAAAAACGTGTTTGCTTTCAGATTTTGCCAATTTCCACAAGAAATTGTCCTTCAAATGGTGGAGAGATGTCGAATAAGGAAACTACAGTTACTCGCTCACCAGTATATGATTTCGAGTAAAATTGAGTTCTACATTAGCGAAAGCTTGCCTGAGTATTTTGCACCATATCAAGCAGAGCGGTTTCGAAGACTTGGGTAAGAATGAAGTTTAAAATGTATAATGGCAGCTTTTAGGCTAATTCTACCTGAAAGCTCTTAAAAATGGATTGTCCTGCTGGGCGTGGTGGCTCACACCTATAATCCCAGCACTTTGGGGAGGCCGAGGCGGGTGGATCATGAGGTCAGGAGTTCAAGACCAGCCTAGCAAGATGGTGAAACTCCATCTCTACTAAAAATACAAAAATTAGCTGGGCATGGTAGGATGCGCCTATAACTCCAGCTACTCTGGAGGCTGAGGCAGGAGAATCACTTGAGCCTTGGGGGTGGAGGTTGCAGTGAGCCAAGATTATGCACTCCAGCCTGGGGAACAAAAGTGAAACTCCATCTCAAAAAAAAAAAAAATAGAGTTGTCACTTAACTTTTGGTCTTATATTATGTACTTCTATTTGGTTCAAGAGTACACAATTTCTTAATACTTGCCTCTTACTGAATATGCTTAAAAAGCAGCATTGTAATTTCTGTGAATTCTGCTGTTCAACTCTAGTTTTCAGATGCAGAACTTTTCTTAAGAACGCTATTTAGATGACCAGTCTGGCCAACATGGTGAAACTGAAAATCCAAAAATTAGCCAGGCAAGGTGGCGGTGCCTATAATCCCAGCTGCTCGGGAGGCTGAAGCACATGAATCACTTGAACCTGAGAGGCAGAGGTTGGAGTGAGCCAAGATTGCACCACTGCACTCCAGCCTGGATGGCAGAGCAAGACTCTGTCTCCAAAAAAAAAAAAAACAAGAATACTAATTAGATTTGAGTTCTGGGGGGTTTTCCTAGGTTTTTCATTCTAGACTTAGCTTCTATTCAAAACTATTGATCCTACATAGGGTAGTCTAGCTTTAAAAAGTAAAATAATAAAAATAAGTAGGCCAAGCATGGTGGCTCATGCTTGTAATCCCAACACTTTGAAAGGCCAAGGTGGGCAGATCACAAGGTCAGGCTGTTGAGACCATCCTGGCCAACATGGTGAAACCCCATTTCTACTAAAATATAAAACATTAGCAGGGCGTGGTGGCACGTGCCTGCAATCCCAGCTACTCAGAAGGCTGAGGCAAGGGAATCACTTGAACCCAGGAGGCAGAGGTTGCAGTGAGCCGAGATCGCACCACTGCGCTCCAGCCTGGCGGCAGAGCAAGACTATGTCTCAAAAAATAAAATAAAATGTAAATAAATAAGCCTATTGAGTTCAGTCAGAGCAGGAGGCAGTTTTACTGAACAGCACATTTTCAAATGACTGTATTCTTTAGTTGTGTTTGTTCTTTCAGCTACATCTCTCTCTGTGATAATGAAAAGACAGGGTGCAAAGCCCGGGAACTGAAATCAGTTTATGTCGATGCAGTAGGACAATTTCTTAAACTGATTTTCCACCAAAACCATGTCAACAAGTACAACATATATAATCAGGTAAGAGGCATACAGCTTCACCTTTGATTCTGCCCCTACCTTTGCAGGATTATGTGGTCACGTATCTTTTCTTAGATGCATTTTCAGGATGATCTTGTGAGGATCTGTTCTGGGAGACTGCTGAGCTCTCTGAGCTGTGGTGCTGTCTGATCCAGCGGCCTCTGGGCACGCATGGTCAGTGCCCAAGGGGAACTGGCCTAGTGCCCAGAGCTGCTGCCATCACCAGACAGTGGGCTTCAGAGAGTCCATACAAAAGGAGAATGCGAAGGAGTTCATGAGAACTTTTGTAACAGTCGTATGTGATGAAATGATAATATTTTGGATATGTTGTGTTAAACTGTATTATTTAAATGAATCTCACTGTTCCTTTTTAATTTCCTAATGTGCTTACTAACCTTAATAACATGTGTGGCTCACATTCTATCGTGCAGGACAGTAGAGTTTCAATAAACCCTCCTGACTTGCGGGAGCACGTTAAGGCTGCATGTAACCCAGGATCTCTCCAGCTCCAAGCCACTAATTCTTAATCTCCTCCTTCCTCCCTCCCTTTCTTTCCTTCTTTTTTTCTTTCTTTTTCTTTCTTTTTTTTTTTTTTTTTGGTTTTCTTCTTTGTATGCTTTTTGTTGCATGAAAATGCACAGACCTTAAGTGTACAATTCAATGAATTTGGATCCCTATAACCAATACCCCAATTGGCTTCTTTCACTTAACATAATGCTTGCCAGAATGATCCATGTTGTTGCACGATTAGTGTCTTAGAAATCAATTGTATCCAAAGCAGTCTTGTTAATTAGCACAAGTGTTTACAGCTCTCCCTGCCCCCTCCAAGAGAAGTGCAAGCACCCAGCAAATCAAGTCTCTAGATAAAGCAAGTGTTCTGGACGAGGGCTCAAAGGTCCAGTTTCGCTGCCTGGCCCCTTACAGCATTATGCGCCAGGAAGCCAGAGGAATGATTCTTAACTCTTTCCTTCCTCCACCCACCTGCATGTGTTTACCAGCAATGCCCTGGCTGAGTAGTTTGTCTACAGTGGTTGAGGGTACAGGATGGAAAAGTGACTCCCCACCTCAGATGAGGCTCACCAAAGTGGATCAACTGAGCTGTGTTAATTTAACTCTTCATCGTCTCATTTCCCAAGGTCCTATAAAGATGACCTCCACACTAATCTCGAGTGGATCTGTCATTACGAAGCTATGTTAAAACTCTGGGAGTTTTTAGCTATTATGATTTGTACATCCTTTAAATGGTTAAAATAACCATTTGATTAAGCATTAGAATACGAACATAATTTATTTAAAATTATTTGTTATTATTAAAAATTCTTTACATTAGCACAACATTTTAAGAATTAATAGTTATCCTATTTGATGACGGTATAGGTCAGAGCTTCTTATAAAGGAATTAAGTCCAGCCTGGGCAACGTGGTGAAATCCTGTCTCTACAGAAAAACATAAAAATGAGCAGGGCATGGGGGCTCACACCTGAAGGCCCAGCTGCTAGGGTGGCTACGGTCTGGGGATCACTTGAGCCCAGGAGGTCAAGGCTTCAGTGACCCGTGATCACATCACTGCACTCCAGCCTGGGTGACAGATGAGACCCTGTCTCAGAATACGTAAAGGGGTTAAGTCATTTTGGACATTGTATATTTAATTTCTGTTCATCGAACACTTTCTCAGGTTGCTTTGGTTGCCATAAACATCATTGGAGACCCTGCAGATTTCAGCGATGAAAGCAATTCTGTAAGTTTGGAAGGTCTTCGTTCCTAAGGAAGTAAATGTATTTCTAACAGAAGAGGGTCATTATTTTCACCCAGAAAAAGTATCGCTTTTATAATCTGCACAAAATTGACTAGTGAATAACTTTCAGATATTTTGGGGAGCTTTAGCATATTACACTTGTCTTTAGCAATTTTAGCTGTCCCTCCGAAAGGTGGGAATCACTGAATCTTGCTGACAGCTTTATATGAAATAAATCTTGTAGTTAGGGTTTGTGTTGTTCCTCTTTCTCTCCGAGACACTAAGCGGATGTTTTGCTCCCAAAGGCCTCTAGAGAGAAGTTGATTGATCACTATCTTGGGCACAGCAGCGAGGACCCTGCTCTAGAAGGAAGTTACGCCAGGTAAGAGACCCGCTCCCCCAGCAGTAAACTTCTGTTTCTTCCCTCAGAATCATGAAAGTCAGTCATTTCCAAAGGATTCTGGACTCAGAGCCTCTAAATTCAGTTTTGAGCTGGATAAGCCACTGATTGGATTGTCTTAAATTTGCTTTAGGATTAAGGTCACTGTTTTATGTAGCGCATTTTCATTTATTGCCCAGCAGAGACCACTTTGTTTCTTGTGTTCAGGTGTTACTAGAAGATTCCTAAAATGCATTTAGAGCAAAGACCTGTCAGCTGTCCTCTGATGTTTTACCAGCACAGGCAAATTCATAGGTAAAAATCAAAGACATTGATAGGCCCAACTTATCAATTCTGGAGATACCATCTTGCAGCTACTTCAAAAGTTTATTCTTCAGAGGAGTGAAAAATATGTATTACACATGTTTTTTAAAACATGATTTGTACCAGTCTCTCTCTACCAACTAAAAATATTCTTTACCACTGTGAAATCTGACTGGCTTTAAAAAAAAGAAAGGGTGAAGGGAAAGTTGTTCATGTTAACAAATGTAAGCCAGGTGCCGCGGCTGATGCTTATAATCTCACCACTTTGGGAGGCCAAGGCAGGAGGATTGCTTGAGATCAGGAGTTTGAAACCAGCCTGGGTAACATGGCAAAACCCCATCTCTACTAAAAATACAAAAATTAGCTGAGTATGGTGGCATGCACCTATAGTCCCAACTACTTGGGAAGCTGAGGCAGGAAGATCACTTGAGCCAAGATCATGCCACTGTACTCCAGCCTGGGTGACAGAGCAAGACCCTGTCTCAAAAAACAAAACAAAACAAAAAGTTACACATATTTTTCTGCTGCTGCTGCCGCTTCCTCTTTTTTTGTTTTTTTTTTTATCAGTGTAAGGACCCGGGAGAGCTAAAGGGCCCCACTGCGCCATCCTCAGTCACCCTCTCTGTCCCAGGCACCTCTTTGGGCTAGTGGCTCCCTTGCCACCTGCCTGCTGTGGATGACAAGGGGACTCCATTCCAGGGGTGCCTGGTCTGAAGAAAAGAAGGGAAGGACAGGCAGGCATAGTTGCAGCAATGAAAAAAAAGAAGAATCAAAAATGTTTTTTTAGGCTGGGCACATGGCTTACACCCATAACCCCAGCACTTTGGGCAGATCAGTTAAGGTCAGGAATTCAAGACCAGTCTAGGCAACACGGTAAAACTCCATCTCTACTAAAAACACAAAAATTAGCCCTGTGTGGTGGCGCACACCTGTAGTCCCAGCTACTCAGGAAGCAGGAGAATCCCTTGAACCTAGGAGGTGGAGGCGGCAGTGAGCCAAGATCATGCCACTGCACTCCAGCCTGAGCAACAGAGCAAGACTCCATCTCAAAAAAAAAAAGTTTTTTGGCAGGGTGCCATGGCTCACGCCTATAATCCCAGCACTGTGGGAGGCCGAGGCAGGTCGATCACGAGGTCACGAGTTCAAGACCAGCCTGACCAACATGGTGAAACCTCATCTCTACTAAAAATACAAAACTTAGCTGGGCGTGGTGGCACACACCTGTAATCCCAGCTACTCAGGTGGCTGAGGCAGGAGAATTGCCTGAACCTGGGAGGCGGAGGTTGCAGTGAGCCAAGATCGTGCCACTGCACTCCAGCCTGGGTGACAGAGTGAGACTTTGTCTCAAAAAAAAAAAAAAAGTTTTTTAAAAATAAAAAGGAATTCCCAATAATCCTTGGTTCTTCTCAGCAGCTTCCCCATAAAGAAAAGATCAAATTTTTAAACTTTAATAGAAACTTCAAATTTGTCTACAGTGTTCAGTGTAATTTCACTTTTACCTGCATACAGACTGCTCACGTAAAGTGATAAATTCTTGATCCAGGCTCCTCCGTTTGCACAAAACCTGGAGCAGATTCTCTGCAGTTGCTCAGGAGCTATCTGCAGTCTGCCGAGTGTGTGCACCAGTGGACAGCGAGCCCTTCCTCCTGCAGAGGCTGCCTCGCTTCCCACAGGCCTGGTACAGACCTGGTACAGACCTGAGCCGTCACAGGCACTTAGAGAGTAGAGGCTATTCATGTCATGTCTATCAAAAAATAATACCAGCCTCTCAGTGTCTCTCTCAGATGCCTCCTTTACCTAATAGAAAAACAACAGTACTCTTCCTGTCCTTCAGGGTGGCAATTGGAAACTGTGGGGAAAGAGCTCTGAGAACGGATGGCTGCCTCCCTCCTGCCAGCCTCACCACAAGGACTGCAGCTGGGGCTCTGCCCTCATTGAACCCAGTGCCATGGGGCAGGAACAACCAAACCGATGAAGGCTTTAGTTTCTCAACATCTCCAATAAAGCCGCTTTCTGTTCTTTTGATTTAGACTTTAAATCTATTGCCTTAATCCAATCAGCCAGGTGGAATGGTAGGCTTCGGTTTGCCTGTCCTGCCCTACGCCTGGGGTTTTATGAAGGTTAAGTGCAAGGGCTGGGGAAAGCTGTGTGACCAGCACGTGCTGGCCTGTGCTGGACATGGAATCCACTCATTACCACTGGGGGTTCTGTACCAAAGTGGGTAGATGGCTCTCCATGCTGCTGCTGCTGAGTCACCAGGAGCTGGGGCTGGAATGCCAAGGACATTCTGGTTTCTTCGAAGGATTTTTTTTTTTTTTTTTTTTTTTTGAGAAGGAGTTTCGCTCTTGTTGCCCAGGCTGGAGTGCAATCGTGCAATCTGGGCTCATCGCAACCTCTGCCTCCTGGGTTCAAGCAATTCTCCTGCCTCAGCCTCCTAAGTAGCTGGGATCACAGGCATGCGCCACCATGCCTGCCTAATTTTATATTTTTAGTAGAGACTGGGCTTCTCCATTTTGGTCAGGCTTGTCTCGAACTCTCAACCTCAGGTGATCCGCCTGCCTCAGCCTCCCAAAGTGCTGGGATTACAGGTGTGAGCTACTGTGCCCAGCCTCTTTGAAGGATTTTTATAATCAAATGCAGTATTTGTGTTCATCTCTGGGACAGCAAGGCAAAGTGACCTAGAGTGTAATATGTGTCACACTAAAAATAGTTAATAATGTGATCTTGTAGACAACCCGGAATCTTCGCTGTGGAATCACCCCTGTGATTATATGCAGTTCAGAGCTGCCGGTGCCGTCCCAGCCACCAGCCTGTGGTGCTGCTGTGAGCAAAGTGCAGTGAATTCAAGGGTGGGGAGATCCCTTCAGCTGTGAAGTGTCTGAAGGCAGCCTGTTCCCATGCCCCACTTGAATTCATTATAATACAGATTCACTAGCTACACTTTTATGACAAATGTTTTCATGAAAATGTACCTGTCTCGAAGGATGTTCAGGTCACTGTGAGCAGCTGGCTTGTCTGATGGGGCTGGTACAGCAGCGCGGCTCTTTGACCCTCATCCTCTAGTAAGGATTGTTGCTTGGTTAGACTAACTTTAGTGTTAACATTCTAGACCCTACTATAGAGCTTGAAAGGAGGAATAGAGGTCATATTTAATCAGAAAGGAGTTACTCAGGCAACTACAAAAGATGACTTGTTTCTAAAGGAATATTTTTGGTCTATAGGACACAGTTGACACCATTTGACTTAACCCTTTGTGTAAAACCTCAGTGGTAGCAATTCTTAACCTACCATGTTCATCAAAAATACTGTGATGTTGGCCGGGTGTGGTGGCTCACACTTTGGGAGGCTGAGATTGGTGGATGAGACCAGCTTGGCTAACATAGTGAAACCCCATCTCTACTAAAAATACAAAAAATTAGCTGGGCACGGTGGTTCACACCTGTAGTTCCAACTTTCTGGGAGACTGAGGCATGAGAATTGCTTGAAGCCAGGAGGTGGAGGTTGCAGTGAGCCAAGATCATGCCACTGCACTCTAGCCTGGTCGACAGAATGAGGCTCTGTCTCAAAGAAAAAAATACAGGCCGGGTTCAGTGGTTCACACCTGTAATCCAAGCACTTTGGGAGGCTGAGGTGGGCAGATCACTTGAGGTTGGGAGTTCAAGACTAGCCTGGCCAACATGGTGAAATCCTGTCTCTACTAAAAATATAACAATTAGCTGGATATGGTGGCACACACCTGTAATCCCAGCTACTCGAGAGGCTGAGACAGGAGAATCACTTGAACCCAGGAGGTGGAGGTTACAGTGTGCTGAGATTGCACCATTGCACTCCAGCCTGGGCGACAGAGTGAGACTCTGTCTCAAAAAAAAAAAAAAAATACTGTGGTGTTATAAAATATGGTACCTGAACTGTGGGAAGAAAGTTGCCCAGGTGCCATGGCAAGAGACTGAAGGCACAATCTGTGCCAGTGTAACAAATGATTACTTATATATAGCAATTATACCAAATAGGTTTACTGATTACTTAGTTATAGCATAATAAATGATTACTTATAGCAAGGACACCAATTAGACTTAGGTGCAATCACATAATGAATTATATGCTCAGTCTTATTACATTACAAAGGTTATTAAGCTTCGCTTTAGTACTACAGTGAAGGAACATTTTTAGCCTTATAGTATAGAAATAACCGGGTGAAATGTAATTCAGAACTGAAGGGACGTTGTGAGAGGTGATCAGGAGGCGAGAGTAAACGCCTTGTGGTAGCGCCAGGTAAGACGCCCGTTACTTAGCAGGCAAGCCTTGCAGTAACGCCAGAGCCTGGGGAGGCACCTGTTGCTTTGCAGGCCATGAGGGGGAGTTTCCCTTCACTGGGGAGTTCAGAGAACACTCTGCTCCATCCATCTCTCGAGGAAGGTCTGACACTAGCCAGGCCGACCCACAGACATCCAGGGGCTTAAACACCTCTCCGTGGTGCTGAGCTCCGATGGTCACCATCCTCGTCCACTTTCACGTTCCACTTTCCCACCCGATGCTTCCTTGTAAATTCTTAGAAGCTGTAAGAATAGAGGAATCCTAAAAGCCTTTGATCTCTCTGATAAGTGCATAGAAATAAACTGATATATGTGCCTCCCCTCCTTGCAGTGGCTGCCTGAGAGGGAGGGGCCCTCTGTACTGTACCCACGTGACCCCTGTAGTATACCCACGTGACCCCCTGAACTGTACCCACGTGGCCCCCTCGTATTATCAGTGTGTGATTTGCTTGCCCCTACCAATCATGTAGGATGAGTCACTCTCCAGCCCTGCCCCCCTGCCTTGTATACAATAACTATCAGTATGTCCAGGCATTGGGGCCTCTGCTGGACTCCGTGCCTTGGTAGCAGTGGACCCCCAGCCCAGCTGAATTCTTCTCTTATCTCTGCGTCCTTGCGTCCTTCTTTTATATGATCTGTCTTCTTCACACACAAAAGAACACCCATGAGACCCTGCCAGGCTAGACCCTGCACTGGCCTCCATCTTGAGCCTGCTGGTTACATTCCTCAGGGTCGGGCTTGGTCATCCATTTGTTGGTTTTGTTTTTCTCCCTGTTCTGCAGTTGATTCACATTCACTGTCCTAATCTTAGGGCTGTAGATTCGAGGCCCAGAGTCTGCACTGAGCAAATGCGCCAAAGGCTCAGATGCCCTGAGTGCAGTTTGACTCATGGTCAAGAGCATGAGTTTTGGAGTCAGAAAGGCCTGCTTGCAGTTAAGAGCCCTATGACCTGAGGCCCATTAGTTCTCAGAGACCAGTTTTCTCATGCAGGAAATGTGCTATGAACCTTGATGGGGTGGCGTGTGGAGGGGCATTCTCAGCTGTGCCTCTGCAGCACTGAGCTCCTATGGCTTAAAATTATCTCTAAAATCTGCGTTTCTTCCCTTTAGGAAATCTGACTATATTTCTCCACTAGATGACTTAGCTTTTGATATGTACCAAGATCCAGAAGTTGCACAGATTATACGAAAACTAGATGAAAGAAAACGGGAAGCTGTCCAAAAGGAACGCTATGATTATGCCAAGAAACTAAAGCAAGCTATTGCTGATTTGCAAAAGGTATTGCTTTTGGAGAAAACACTTCCTAATTTATGTCTGTAATAGGTTTTATGTATACTTTTGGTAACTACATGGTAAAAGAAATGGGTTACTGAAAGCTGTGAAGTTAGTGGTGTGAGTTCAAAGATCTCAGCAAAATAAAGTTATGGAGACAGATAAGCACCTTAAAAATGTAAATGGAAGCAGAAGCTTTACTTCTTCAGACTCACGTTCGGGTGCCAGGTCAGCCACCTCGTTACCAGGACCCCTAGTGCAGTGGGAAAATAGTAGGAAAACGAGCTATCCCAAAAGTAATGATGAACCCATGGGCTTACTAGATGCCAGTACAGCAACAGCAACCAGACCTTTGCAGTGAGTGTGGTCCATTTCTTCCATTTCCCTGTGCTCGTTCCCTCTCCTCGCAAGACTGTTAGAGCATGATTCTAAAAATTACCTTTGCATTTGATCTGAGTTGATCCAAATTTGAAACAAAAAGCAAACATTTTGTGCTTCAGGTTGGTGAGCGTCTTGGGAGGTATGAGGTAGAGAAACGCTGTGCTGTAGAGAAGGAAGACTACGATCTCGCCAAGGAGAAGAAACAGCAGATGGAGCAGTATCGCGCTGAGGTGTACGAGCAGCTGGAGCTCCATAGCCTCCTGGATGCTGAGCTGGTGGGTGCAGGAGCCCGGACGGGGTGGGGTGGAGGAAAGCCTAGAACAGAGCTGGTGGGTGCAGGAGCCCGGACGGGGTGGAGGAAAGCCTTGGAGAACTGTGTGGTTCATAAAGGTGATAGATATCTTTGAAGTGTAATGTAAAACACTTTGCAATGCTCAGGGGACAGTTCTAACAAATGGCTTCAACTCTGCCCACGTCAGGGAGGTTTTGCCTCAGCATGTTCTTTCAGGAGGTTTACAGTCGTGGGAAAGGGAACGAGCCAGGGTCAGGAAAACCGAGGCTCTGATACTTTTCCACTGCATCCCTTCATCTCTCCAGCTGCTTCCTTATTTGGAAAATGCAGTGATGACCCTGCCCCACTTACCCCTCAGTGTTGTGAAGATCAACTGAGAGCTTAATACTAACAGCTTCAACATATGGAGAACGTGTTTCCCATAAGGTGCTCTCCCTCCAGTCTTCACAACTCATGCAGATGGGGCAGTCAGCCCTCATGACAGATGAGAAAATGAAGGCCCTGAGATACAGAATAGTGATTGAGAGTGCACACTCAAGACCAGGTGTGGTGATGCACACGTGTAATCCCACCACTTTGGGAAGCCAAGGCTGAAAGATTGTTTGAGCCCAGGAGTTTGAGACTGGTCTGAGCAACATAGAGAGACGTTGTCTGTACAAGAGTAAATAATAGCCTGGCCTGGTGGCACACACCTGTGTAGTCTTAGCTACTCAGGAGAGTGAGCCAGCAGGATCACCTGGGCCCAGAAGTTCAAAGCTGCACTGAGCTATGTTCACGCCACTGCACTTCAGCCTTGGTGATGGAGCAAGACCCTGCCTCTAAAAAAAGAGGGTGCATGCTCTGGAGCTGGACTGCCTGGGTTCAGATCTAGGCACCACCATTCCAGCTGTGTGATTGCAGACTAATTCTTACAGCTTTATGCCTCAGTCTTCCCATCAGCTTTCCAGTGGAGGTAAAAGAGTAAGCATTAATGGGCCTGCCTGTCCAGAACACTCAGTCCCATGCGTAGTGTGCAGCTGTGCAATCAGCTTTGCTTGTTGCGATTATGTAACATCACTTTCCTTTGTACACACAGTGAGTAGCAGTGCCAGATTTTGAATAAAAGTCCACTTGGGACCCAGTCCAGGTGCTTTCTCCAAACCACCGTGTTCCTTCATGGGCACATATGTGTGGACATGCACAATGCCCATTCCTTCACCAGCATTTTGGGGTATTATGTGACTTTTGTAGTCCACACGGAAACGTGGAGAGACAGCTGAGATGGGTGCAGCTTGATCGTGAAGGACTTTCCAGTAGGTCTCGCTCTGAACACTCCCTCTTGTTTTGAAAGTTTTCACTGTGCCGAGGAGCCTCTTGCAGCACGGCCTTCCTAAAGTCTTACTCACCTGCAGGAGGGAGATGGTATATCTGGCATGACAGTGGCATTTGAAATTAAATGTCCTTTTTTGTTCCCTAGATACGAAGACCTTTGGATTTGCCCCTCCAGCCCCTCACTCATTCTGGCAGTCCTCGCCACCAAAAGCCAGTGCCCTCACTACCGCAACTGGAAGAAAAAGGAACAGAAAGCCAGTTTGCAGAAACTTTCCTTCAGGAAAAGCCTTCATCATATCCTCTAACTATTTCTCCTCAGCATTCTGCAGTAGACCAGTTACTCCCTGCCACAGATCCTCATCCAAAAATGAATGTAGGTAACTCCGTTTCAGATTGGTGTTCAATTTTTTTTTTTTTTTTTTTTTAAATAGTCTTGCTCTGTCACCCAGGCTGGAGTGCAGTGGTGCAATCTAGGCTGACTGCAACCTCTGCCTCCAGGGTTCAAGAGATTCTCCTGCCTCAGCCTCCCAAGTAGCTGGGACTACAGGTGTGTGCCACCACACCCAGCTAGTTTTTGTATTTTTAGTAGAGATGGGGTTTCATCATGTTGGCCAGACTGGTCTCAAACCCCTGGCCTCGTGATACACCCACTTCAGCTTCCCAAAATGCAGGGATTACAGGCGTGAGTCACTGCGCCCAGCCAGTGTTGAGTTTATTTGGATCTTTGTAGAGGACCTGTGTTGGGCCAGGTGCTGTTCCCATGCATGGGTCTGTGAGTGCACCACAGCCGTGCCCCACTCCGTTCCATTCTGGGAGCCGTGGTGTTGAGTGAGAACATAGCAACATGAGCAATTGGCCTAATGACACCTTATGAGTATGTCTATCAAAATCAATCCTGATGCTTATTTCTAAGCAATAAACTCAGAAAATATCAGAGATCTTGTCAGAAAAAAGATATAAGAGCCTTTACTGTAGTAATCTCTGTGTCAATTGAACTGAAATTGCTGCCAGTAAACAGTAATTGAGGCAGACTCTACCTTGCTTTTTTTATTACATCTGTAATGAGTTTAGAAAGGAACAGAAAGCCTCATCTAATCTTTTCAATTACATCCTATTTGTTGTATAAATTATTCTAATCTGATTTAATAATTTTTATAAATATTCTAATCTGATTTATAAATTATTCTAATACTGATATTTAGCAAAATCACATCTTTCAGATCAGGTAAAGCAAGCCTGCCAGTGAGAGCTGCATTGGAGAATGTAACCCACAGAGCTCCCCAGCCCTTTCCTCTCTCTTTTTCTCACTGCAGGCAGAGTCCCTGCCCTATGACGAGCGGCCTCTTCCTGCTATTCGGAAGCATCATGGTGAGGCAGTGGTGGAGCTGGAAATGAGTGATGCAAACATCAGCAGTGCTCGGAGGGGAGGCATGTCTGGGGAACCAGAGCCCCTAACCGAGAAGGCCCTGAGAGAAGCCAGCTCTGCCATTGATGTGCTGGGAGAGACCTTGGTAAAGAGTGGGTGCAGAGGGGAGGGAAGGCTACGTGCATGCATCTGTGTACCTGCACATGAAGGAGGGAAATGCCCAGGGCTTTGTGTTTGTAATGTTGTTCATTTCCCTCTGTTCTTACTGAAAGGTTTTCGTTAACTTTTTTTTTTTTTTAAGAAACAGACTGTTGCTCTGTCACCCAGCGTGGAGACAGTGGCATGATCATAGCTCACTACATCCTTGAACTCCTTGCCTTGGCCTCCCAAAATGTGGGATTACACACATTAGCCACCATGCCTGGCCCTTTTGTAAATTATGAATTATGTGAAACAGCAAAATCATGCGCAAAGATGTATCAATGAGTACTCCTTTCAGCCTGGGTGTTTCCTTCTGGCATTCATGGAGCTTGTATTAAACACCTGCTCCCAACTGATTCCAGCGCAAAATGATGGTATAGCAAAAGATGGAAGTATATCCTCATAGAAATGAGTAGGGGCCGGGTACAGTTGCTCATGCCTCTTATCCCAGCACTTTGGGAGGCCAAGGCTGGCGGATCACGAGGTCAAGAGATCAATACCATCCTGGCCAACATGGTGAAACCCCATTTCTACTAAAAATACAAAAAAAATTAGCTGGGCCTGGTGGCACACGCCTGTAGTTCCAGCTACTCGGGAGGCTGAGGCAGGAGAATCGCTTGAACCCGGGAGGCAGAGGTTTCAGTGAGTCGAGATTACACCACTGCACTCCAGCCTGGTGACAGAGCAAGACTCCACCTAAAAAAAAAAAAAAAAAAAGAATAGGGTTTTCTCCTTGTTCTCAGCTTTAAAATGTTTCTCTTGGAGCTTTTAATACTTTTCATATTTAAACGTCTTAAATTTTTGTTATCAGAAAAGTTATTTCTCTAAATATGCATATTTATTTGTAAAAGTTCTGTTATTAGTAATGAATCATTTTAGTTTAAAAAAAAAAACAAAGCCTTCAAGTTGTGTAGTGTTGGAGGATGGCCGTGTGATGTCATGCCAATGCCGCCTGTTTTGTGGCAGGTTGCTGGAGCGTATTCCAAGACGTGGTCCTACCGAGAGGATGCACTGCTTGCTTTGTATAAGAAGTTGATGGAAATACCTGTTGGAACCCCAAAAGAAGATTTGAAGAACACACTGAGAGCATCCATCTTTCTTGTTCGAAGAGCCATAAAGGACATTGTGACCTCCGTGAGTGCCCTCAGCTGGCGCTGGCTCCATAGTCCATGGATGAGATTATGCACCATACCACAGAAGACCAGAGCAGCTTGAGAGATGACCAGTTAGTCGCTGACATGGTCACCAGCTCTAACCTAGTAGAATCACTAAGAAATGAGGTTCTCTAGCAAGAGCTATATATTTTATGACTGATCATTTTCCAGACCTGATGGGTCTGGGAAACCTGCCTTTGCCTGGGCCATTGTCTCTGGCCTTGAGCAGCGCTGGCTTTTCCATGGTCTGCAGAGCCAGGTGTTTGTAGAGCCTGGTTCAGCACCACCACATCTTCAGTTTGCGTTTTAACTCTTCATGAAACCTGCTGAAGTTGAGTGTTACTATTTTTCTAATGCTGAACGAGCCTAGGAATGAACATTGTACAGTTGGGCTTACCCACCGAAGCAGGCACGTTAGATATGTGGGGTGGAGGGAAGATGTGGGGTGATTTATGACACAGTGAAATAAGCATACGTCCTCTATATGCAGGATACTGTGTTTAGAAAGCAGTTTCCAGTTTACCATTTTCATTCTTTCAGACAAGATGTAATTTTCAGTCTCATGTTCGTATGTATTACTGATAATAAATTCCACATTTACTCCTGGTAGAATTCCATTGTGTAACTCATCCGTGTTTATCACTTTTCTCTTAGGTCTTTCAGGCTTCTCTGAAATTGTTGAAAATGATCATTACACAATATATTCCTAAACATAAACTGATTAAACTCGAAACGGCTCACTGTGTGGAAAGGACTGTCCCTGTTTTGCTCACCAGAACTGGAGACTCTTCTGCCCGCATCCGTGTCACAGCTGCGAATTTTATTCAGGTCTGAACTTCACCATAGCATTTGAAACCGTAGATAATAAGCATATTCCTGTAGCTCTCTGGCTTTCTTAACACCTTACACGATTCTGTGTCTACTCAAGAGTGTGAAAATGATGCTTAGGGATTCGCCATCACACTTTGCTTATGCTCTAAAAGATCAGTTTTATCTTAGACGTAACCTTCAGTTACAATGTACAGTTTGGTTTTTCCCATGTTTCTTTTATCCAACATACACCATTAATTTATTAAATAAACATAAACATACAGAAACAATGCCAAAATAGAAAATTTGGGGGGTAAAGAAATAAAAAAATATAACTGTCTTAATGGAAATATTTTCATTCTTTCTCCAAACGTGCCTCGTCTAGGCTGGACATTGTGGGAAACACTGAGGTAGAGAGAAATGTGTGAGTTTGGGGCACACAGCCCTGCACCATCATGTGAAGATATACTTGCTGTCTTCAAATGAGCTCATGAATTTGTCTAGTCCAGGAGTTCTTAAGAGTCCTCCTTTGGGCTTAAGAAAGCTATCAGGGCCGGGCACGGTGGCTCAAGCCTGTAATCCCAGTACTTTGGGAGGCCAAGGCGGGTGGATCACGAGGTCAAGAGATCAAGGCCATCCTGGTCATCATGGTGAAACCCCGTCTCTACTAAAAATACAAAAAATTAGCTGGGCATGGTGGTGCGTGCCTGTAATCCCAGCTACTCAGGAGGCTGAGGCAGGAAAATTGCCTGAACCCAGGAGGTGGAGGTTGCGGCGAGCAGAGATCACGCCATTGCACTCCAGCCTGGGTAACAAGAGCGAAACTCCGTCTCAAAAAAAAAAGAAAGCTATCAATTACTTAAGTTTTACACAAAATATTGTGATGTGCAGATCTTTCTTAAAAAGGAATCCAGGCTAGGCACAGTGGCTCACGCCTGTAATCCCAGCACTTTGGGAGACCAAGGAGGGCAGATCAGTTGGGCCCAGGAGTTCAAGACCAGCCTGGCCAACAGAGTGAGACTGTCTCTGCAAAAAATACAAAAATTAGCCAGGCGTGGTGGTGTACTCTTGTAGTCCAGCTCCTGGGAAGGCCTAGGTCAGAGGCTTGAACCCTGGAGGTTTAGGCTGCCATGAGCCATGATCTCACCACTGCACTCCTGGGTGGCAGCAAGACTGTCTCAGAAACAAAAGACTCCAAAGCTTTCATAGTTTCTCAAAGGGGTCATTGCTCCAGAATAAGAGGAACCACAGATCTAGTTTCATTTAATAAACTTAAAATTTTCAGAGTAAATAAGGAAAACTAACACTAATAAAAAGGTAAGAAGTGCTGTAATGCTAATATGCTACAATACGCTCCTGGTTAAGACAGCTAGAATTTGGAGGTGGGAGGGCTCATCCTTCAAAAGCTGTGTTGCAGATGAGCACATGTTATTGCTTCATTTGATTATTTTCAAGCTGCATTAATTTCTGAGCAGTTTGGTGGTGCTAAAATGTCATCTCTATTTGAGATAACCTTAAAGCAGTCTCTCGAGGTTTACAATTCTTGTGCCTCAGTGTGTGCCACTCAGCAGACTACAAATGCACTCACAGCATCTGTTTGCCATTAAGGAATTTACTGTCCATACTTCCCTGGAGAATGCTCTTCTCTTATCTTTTATATTTGTACAGAGTCACTCATTGACCCAAATATAGAGTGAATCGGGCCAGAAAGATGAGAGATTATTTTAGATGATAGGACCTACAAACCTATTAAAAACAGGTTTATTTCTGATACAACTTAATGCATCAGTATCTTATTTTTTTCTCTGCCTCTGGTCAATTAAGTGGTAAATATTTAATTATATAAAGACTTGTTTGTTTAGAGACCTTAAAATATGTAATGGTACTTACTTTTTCCATCTTAACCACTAGTAATCATATCACTGCAGAATCATACATTGCTACACCCTTGGCTAATATTTAATAAATACTAAAATCATGATGATTCTAGCAGCAGCTATAATTTCTTTTAGAATTTTAGAAATGAGAAGACCTTTTTCTTGAAGTTGAAGAATGCTGAGAACAGACACCTTCTAGTTTGCAGTTACCCTTTCTGTGAAGCTTTCATTAGTCATGAACTTGTTTTATTCTTCATGGTTTTATTTCCTGTGGCTCAGGTTTTCATTTCTAATGGTCATTAGGCTTTAAATAGAAACACAAGCTTACAGATTGGTGATCTTACTGCTGCTTGTCACTGTCATTCTGTGTGTCCCTATTTTTCTCTTCGGTGTTTAGTTTAAGATCATGCTAAATTATACTAAACTGCCTCCAGTTTTTTCCACTAAAAATTAACAAGTTCCATTGGCTTTCACAGGAAATGGCCTTGTTTAAAGAAGTTAAGTCTCTCCAAATTATTCCATCCTACCTGGTGCAGCCATTGAAAGCAAACTCCTCGGTTCATCTGGCAATGAGTCAGATGGACCTCCTGGCCCGGCTGTTGAAAGACCTGGGCACTGGGAACTCAGGCTTCACCACTGACAACGTGATGAAGGTAAGCAGACCTCATATGTGACGCCACCGTGGCCCAGCCCTCACCACAGTGCCTGGAGCCTGGCGAGGGTCTCATCAGCGTTTGTTCCATGAATGAGTGAAACTGATTTCAGAAAAATAGCCAGTGTTTCATCCAATGGGGGCCCCCACACTCATCCTACTGTCTAATCCAACTTGTTGGTGCGTGATCTGTGGAGATCTTTGTCCATGGAGAGAAACAAATCATAAAAAATATGTCTTTGTCTTTTAAGAGGCAATTAAAACAGCATGATGGAGGATATCAGGTACAGTTTGAAGCTCCTCATCTGAAATGCTTAAGACCAGAGTGTTCAGGATTTCAGATTGTTTTTGGATTCTGGAATATTTCCATTATACTTACTGATTGAGCATCCAAAATCCAAAATCTGCACATCAGCTACACAGGAGTGCACACCTCCAAGGAGGGCGAGAAGCCATGGGCCCCAGAGACATACGGGGGATGTAATGACACTACAGCCATAGTGTTCTGTTTCTTTAAAAGACCCAAACCAAGCGTGATGAAATTACAGTGCGGGTCACAGCGCTGTAAATCCATGAGGTTTTATGTTTGAAGGATTTCATGACACTTAATATGAACGTTTTTTCTTTATTTTTTAAATGTTTATAATGTACCTTTTTTGAATGCTGAAAGAAATTAATTTTATTATTTTAAGAATCAGTAACAAGAGCCCTCCCAATTTTGTTTTTAGTTTTCAGTGAGTGCCCTGGAGCATAGAGTGTATGAGGTCCGAGAGACAGCGGTTAGAATTATTTTGGACATGTACAGACAGCACCAGGCTTCTATCCTGGAGTATCTTCCTCCAGACGACAACAACACGCGCAAGAACATCCTCTACAAAACGATTTTTGATGGATTTGCTAAAATAGATGGCCGACCTACAGATGCTGAGATGAAGGTAAGTTAACTTTCGGGAGGTTATGACCTCATCCTTTGTTGAGGAAGCCACTTGGTACATAAATAAGTAACTGAATAATTTTAAGGAGCCATGTGTATGGGAAGCCCAGGCTTACTGGCTAAGAACATTGGTTCCTGCCTTCAGATCCCACTCCTCCACTTCTGCCGGTGAGACCCTCAGGTTCCCAGGCTGCAAACGGGCATGATGATAGCGTGAGGACATGGCAGGTTTATCTACCAACAAACATCGATCAAATCCATTGAAAAGATTTACTTCTAACTCATTATTAGTCTTCGTGAATATTATAATCTGTAATTTATAAGAAACATAGTTGATATGCCATAATTTGTCTTCCAGCTTCTAAGATTACCCTAACAAGCTATTCTAATGGAAGAATAATTTTCTTTCAGGCACAGAGAAAAGCAGCTACAGAAGAAGCAGAAAAGCAAAAGAAAGAAGAAATAAAAGCTTTACAAGGGCAGCTGGCAGCACTGAAGGAAATTCAGGCTGAAGTTCAGGTTGGAATTAACACAGCTTTCACCTGTGTGCTTTTAGCCGTGATGTATTTTGCTATATACATCCACATCATACTTGACCTGTTTTTCATGGGATTATACAAATGAGTGTCTTGATTCCTTCTGGTTTTAGGTTAGTTTTGGGGTGGATAATGGAAGCCTTTCATGCAGAGTTGGAATTGGGTGGCAGACACCCTTCCTGCCCCTCCATCCTCTGTCAGAATTGATATGAGCTGCTGCAGATGTTTAGGGAGGGGACCAGAGGCTGCAGGCACAGAGCTGGTCTCCTCCACAGCTCTCCAGCCACCTTGAGAGGCAAAAGAGAAAAATCAGCTTGACTATCTGACTTCAGTGCATTAAAAAAGGAAGGTTTTGGCTGGGCGCAGTGGCTCACGCCTGTAATCCCAGCACTTTGGGAGGCCAAGGTGGGCGGATCATGAATTCAGGAGATCGAGACCAGCCTGGCGAACACAGTGAAACCCTGTCTCTACTAAAAATACAAAAACTTAGCCGGGCATGGTGGCAGGTACCTGTCGTTCCAGCTACTCAGGAGGCTGAGGCAGGAGAATCACTTAAACCCAGGAGGCAGCGGTTGGTTGCAGTGAGCCAAAATTGTGCCACTGCACTCCTGCCTGGGTGACAGCGAGACTCCCTCTCAAAAAAAAAGGAAGATTTCAGGTAAACCTTCAGTTTCAGTGAGCCCTTACTCTTTAAGCCTGGGGTGAGGGGGTGTCATATGTACTGGGAACAAAGATTATTTGGTTGAAGATAAATGTGTTCCTTTCCAACCTCCCTGCTTCTGAGATATGAATTAGCTTCATAACACTAATTTTACCATTAGGTTTCCTTCAGTTGAAAGAAAATAGGAAAGAAGAGGAGGCAGAACACAGGGAGTTTCTGTGCAGCTGACCTGAGGTTTCAGCCATGCCAGGTGAATGAGTTCTGGGATCTGCTGTGTACCTTGGGCCTGCAGCCCAGCCGGCTGCACAGCACACCCAGAGCTGTTCAGAGGGCAGAGGTCATGTCAAGTGTTCTTACAACAATTTTTTTAAAAAGAAAAATGGGTACAAATGTCACAGTGACATTTGCACCAAATGCTGGAACGTCAGGGTCACAATCAGAAAGGGACACAAGGCAGAAGGAGGCAGCAGAGCCTGGGAGGGAGCGAGCCTCTGGCTCAGGTAGCACATCATGGTGTGGACCACTTCCATGTTCTCAGTGACCCTCAGTGGCTCAGCACACCCTCATTGTGATTAGTACACAAACGAGGACACAGATGTGGCAAACTGAAGGGACCTCCCTCCAGCCACAAGCTGGCGCACACGAGGCCCATCCCAGGCACCTGCTTCCCTACCCCCTCCCCCCAGCCGAGCATCTGCTGGCAGTGGCTCCCGATGCCACCACACAGCCGTCCTGAGAGCCTGCAGCTGTGCTCGTTGGCTGGGTGTTTATGGAGCGCCTCTCTGTGCCAGGCACCATCTGGCTGTGGAAATAATACAGCAGGCAGCAAACTGAAGTCCCCATCCTCAGGGCCTGGGGCTCCAAGGAGGAGCAGACAGGGAGAAAGATCCAGGCAGTGGGTCCCTGCTGCAGCATATCGGGGCCTTGGGGCCAGTGCGGGCCTGCACCCACACAGGGCCTGGGGAAGGCCTCTCCCAGGAGAGTGACGGGATGGTTTTTCTCTTATTTCACTGGGGTGAAATATGCACAGTGTAGATGTTACCATTTTAAGTGCACACTGCGATGGCATAAAGTGCATTCACACTGCTGTGCAACCATCGCTCCTTCATCTCCAGAACCTTCAAAATTAACCTGGTAAGTCCTTTTCTGGCTCTAAAATCATACTCTTGGCCTGACATAGTGACTCACACCTATAATTCCAGCACTTTGGGAGGCCGAGGCAGGAGTATCACTTGATTTCAGAAGTTCAAGACCAGCCTAAGCAGCATAGTGAGACCTCATTTCTATTGAAACTTTAAAAACAACTTACCCAGACATGGTAGTGAGCACCTGTGATCCCAGCCACTCAAGAGGCTGAGGCAGGAGGATGGGGTTAGGGTTAGATGCCCAGGATATGCAGCAGCAGGTGGAAATCCATGTGGAGGGAGGGCCCGGCTGAAGGTGGATTTTTTTTTTTTTTTTTTTTTTGAGACAGAGTCTCACTCTATCGCCAGTCTGAAGTGCAGTGGCGCGATCTTGGCTCACTGCAACCTCTGCCTCCCAGGTTCAAGCGATTCTCCTGCCTCAGCGTCCTGAGTAGCTGGGACTACAGGCATGGGCCACCACATCCAGCTAATTTTTGTATTTTTGGTAGAGCTGGAGTTTCACCGTGTTGGCCAGGCTGGTCTTGAACTCCTGACCTTGTGATCCACCTGCCTTGGCCTCCCAAAGTGCTGGGATTACAGGCATGAGCCACCACGACTGGCCGGTGGAAATATTTTAGTCACCTTTTGGGCAAGAGGCTGCTAGAGAGAGGCAGCCAGTGCGCATCCGTGGGAGAAGCTAGAGGAAACCAGGCTCGTGGGGTATCCTGTGAGCCTGACTGAGAAGAGTGCCCAAGTGTGTCACGAGCCACTGGGAGGCCACATGGAAGAGATGTGTGGCCACCAAAAAGCCATTTGCACAGAGTGGCAAGGCTGAGGACCCAAGGGGAGGGGCTATCCATGCCTCTTTTGAAGACAGGGAGTATTGATTCCTCTTTCCAAAATTCAGTTATTTTTTGATAGAGATTCCTTCCCCTCCATCCCCCGAGACAGGGCCTTGCTGTGTCACGCAGACTGGAGTGCAGTGGTGTGATCTCAGCTCAGTGCAACCTCCACCTCCCAGGCTCAAGTGATTCTCCCTCCCCAGCTTCCTGAATAGCTGTGACTACAGGGCGTGCCACCACACCTGGCTAAGTTTTGTAATTTTTGTAGAGACAGGGTTTTGTCATGTTGCCCAGACTGGTCTTGAACTCCTGAGCTCAAGCAATCCATTCACTTTGGCCTCCCAAAGTGCTGGGATTACAGGCATGAGCCATCTTGCCCAGCCAATTGACATTCTGAAAACCCAGAAATGTGCTTTCATGATCAAAATGTATCCTGAATGGGCTCTTATTCACACTGCAGCCATTTGTCCCTGACCTTCCTGTTTTTGTATCTTAGGAAAAAGAAAGTGATGCCATGAAACCAAAGAATCAGGGTATGTAAAGAATTGGAGTACACAAAGAATTGGGGTGTGCAAAGAATCAGGGTGTGTAAAGAATGGGGGTACACAAGGAATCGGGGTGTGCAAAGAATTAGGGAATGTAAAGAATCAGGGTATGTAAAGAATCAGGATGTTCAAAGAATCGGGATACGTAAAGAATCAGGGTGTGTAAATGCACGTCACAGAAGCTCCGTGTGGAAACGGCTTCCCCTCATTCAGCAAGTATCGCTGCACACCGGCTGCATTTCCACCATAGCACAGAATGGAAACACTTCTCCCTTTTTCATTGTATCATATTTTTAAAGTATAGTTCACATCAAACTGATTACTAAAATTTTAGAAGTGATTTCTATAAACACTTATTTAAATTATTATATTTTAATCTCTGCAGACACTCAAGGAGGGAAAGCAGCCCATGCCGAAGCTATGGGAATCCCAGATGAGCACTATCTAGATAAGTGAGTCTCTCTGTCTTCCACCCCCTGTGTGACAGTCAGGTGGATGGGCACTATCTAGATAAGTGAGTCTCTCTGTCTTCCACCCCCTGTGTAACGGTCAGGTGGATGGGCACTATCTAGATAAGTGAGTCTCTCTGTCTTCCACCCCCTGTGTGATGGTCAGGTGGATGGGCACTATCTAGATAAGCGAGTCTCTCTGTCTTCCACCCCCTGTGTGATGGTCAGGTGGATGGGCACTATCTAGATAAGCAAGTCTCTCTGTCTTCCACCCCCTGTGTGATGGTCAGGTGGATGGGCACTATCTAGATAAGCGAGTCTCTCTGTCTTCCACCCCCTGTGTGATGGTCAGGTGGATGGGCACTATCTAGATAAGCGAGTCTCTCTGTCTTCCACCCCCTGTGTGATGGTCAGGTGGATGGGCACTATCTAGATAAGCGAGTCTCTCTGTCTTCCACCCACTGTGTGACGGTCATGTGGATGGGCACTATCTAGATAAGTGGGTCTGTCTTCCACCCTCTGTGTGACGGTCAGGGCAAGCAGCCATGCGGAAGCCCTGGAAGGGGAACAGATCCTCTCTAGTTCACTGTGATATGTGTATTTGTTGGCCCTTCATAGTCATTATAAAAGCTTGGAAATGTGCCTTCTGCACTCACTAGCATCCACTCCACGTCAGTCAAGACAGCTTTCCCTCTGTTGCCTCAGTGGAAGTTGCCAGTCTGTTTGTCAAAACTGTTGTTACAGGCACAGAATATCACAGCAGCAAAATCCTTTTTACTTTATAGCAGCCAAGACAGGTCTATAAAAATGTAGGGTCTTGGTCTTATCTTTTTTCTTGTAACTTAAAATATCTTTTCTGCTTGATTATGCTGAGTGAGAGTTTGAAGAATTGTAATTTCAGGCACCTCCTTGCCGAAGGCTTTCCTGTGGCGCTTTTAACACATGGCACACCCGGCCTCTGCAAGGGATACCCAGCCTGGGCCCTGCAGAGTAAGCTGAGGCAGTTTGGGGTGAGAGGGAAAATGCAAACATCACAGGACCAAGGGAAATTAGGAATTTCCTGGTGAAGTGGGAGCAGAAGGGCCATCACTGGAACTAGATCTTTACCTTTATTTCCTGCTTTTCTTTCCTTTTAGTTTGTGTATTTTTTGTGGGGAAAGGAGCGAATCCTTCACAGAGGAAGGCCTGGATCTCCACTATTGGAAGTACTGTCTCATGCTGACGAGATGTGACCACTGCAAACAGGTCAGGCCGGGGGCACAGCAGCCCAGCTGCTCGCTTGAGCGTGAACCTCTGGCTGCTGAAAGGCTGAGTCACAAAGCTGTCCCAAGTCTCAGTGTTTTCAGAGGAAAGGCTGTGAGAAAAGTAACTGAAGCTGAACACACACCTAAAAACGTTTGCAAGTCATTCCATATAACAGCCCAGTGAGCCATGAGCATGCTGTGCCACCAACGCCTCTCAGGGCTCCTTCCACAGTCATCGGGGCCTGGATTCCAACACCACACATGGGTGCTCCTCGCTCTCTGAGCTTTATAAAAACAGAGCCATGTTGCGTCATGTTTGATTTCTTGCTTTCTAGTGTCCCATGCTTGAATAGACCACAGTGCCTTCATCCATCTGCTGCTCTGCGTGTGGGCATGTCCCATTTGGGACCATGATGAACCATGTTGCCGCAGTGTTCCGGTGTCTGCCAGGGCGCACAGGAATGCACTTTCTTGGGTTCACAATGTGTCGCGGATTGCAGGGTGTGCTGATGCTCAGTGGGGCTGCCCAGGAGTGCTCCAAAGGGGCTGTACCTGGCACCGCCACCAGTAGCACTGGCTAGGTCCCCCTTCCCAAGTGCCGCCGCGGCCATGCTTCTTGCTGCCTTGGCGAGCTCCCACTGTGCATGTCGCTGGTGAAGACGAGGTGGAGAGCCTGTCCTTTTGTCTGCAGGCATCGGGCGTCCTCCTGCAAAGCACCTTCTGGTCTCACCCATCGACCTCTGCTTGTCTGTCTGTTTTTACTGATTTGGGCCATTCTTTACATATGTGGATGTGAGTGCTTGGTCCGTTGTGTGGATTGACCACCTCCCACTCCACAGTGTGCACCTTTGCTGTCTTCAGCGTCTTGAGGAAGATTTGTAATTTTATAATTGCCACCTTACCAATCTTTTTCATGATTCATGCTTTTTGTGTCCTGTGTAAGAAGTCTTCTCCTACCCCCTGTATTAGGCCATTCTTGCATTACTATAGAGAAATACCTGGCTGGCTGTGGCCGCTCACTCCTGTAATCCCAACACTTTGGAAAGCTGAGGCAGGCCAATCACCTGAGGTCAGGAGTTCGAGACCAGCCTGACCAACATGGAGAAACCCCGTCTCTACTAAAAATACAAAATTAGCCAGGCATGGTGGCACATGTCTGTGATCCCAGCTACTCAGGAGGCTGAGGCAGGAGAATCACTTGAACCCGGGAGGCGGAGGTTGCAGTGAGCCAACATCACGCCATTGCAGTCCAGCCTGGGCAACAGAGCAGAACTCCGTCTCAAAATACCTAAGACTGGGTAATTTGTGAAGGAAAGAGGTTGAACTGGCTCACAGTCTGTCCAGTCCTGCAGCCCCAAGTTACAGAGCAAATGCAGGTCATTCCTGCCAGAGGCCAACACAGTGAGAGACTCTTAAAACTCTTCTGTCGTCCTGTTTCTGTGCACATTCTTAAAAATACTGGGGAGCCACGATGTGAACCCAGGGCCACACGTGTAACCACTGAGCAACTCAGGTCAACTGTGGCTTCCCCCATCCTTTCCAGTGACCCCTGCCCAATGCTCAGATGGCAGGAAAGGAAGGACGTGGGGTCTTCAGCAAAGTATCACAAGTGATTCCAGACAGTCTGGGGCAGATGCCAAAGATAAAAGACTCTGGCTCACTTCATGTGCAGGTGACACAGAAAAGCCGTGCTGATTTCTCTGGGCAGAGGGAGGTGTTCACAGGCTGTGCAGATGGCCCTGGAGGACGCTTTCGGCTTTCTCAGCAACACACTTTGCTCTGTATTTTGAAATCCAGGTGGTTGAGATATGCAGTCTGACGGAGCACTTGCTGACGGAGTGTGACAAGAAAGACCGGTTTGGAAAGTGTTACCGTTGCAGCGAGGCTGTTTTGAAGGAAGAGCTGCCCAGACACATCAAGAACAAGGGTTGCAACCGTGAGTGCCCTTCCCAGGCTCCCATGCCTGCAGGTCCCAGGCATCCTCTTGGAGGAAACGCTACTGCTCTTGGGCATCTGCAAGGGCTTCGTGAATTGAAGGGCACCTGGCGGGCACTTGTCATTCAGGGAGTGACTGCGTCTTTTTGAAATCATTTCAGCTGCCAAACCAGAGAAGCTGGCAAACCGGTGTCCTCTGTGCCATGAGAACTTCACCCCTGGAGAAGAGGTGAGGGGCCTAGCTGGGGAAGGGACCAATGAAATAGGTAACACCTGTGGGTGATGGTATTGGTGGTGACCGAGGTGGTGATGATCGTGGTAGTAGTGGTGGTGGTGTTAGTGCTGAGCCATGCCAGAGCACAGCACATGAGCATTCAGGTAGACAGCATCTGGTTAGCCCTGTCTGAACAGTCCTCCGTCTACCTGCACATTCACACAATTTCCTTCCCTCCGTTTACAAATGGTTTATGGAGGAGCCTCAGCTTGTGTCACTGGGTACAAGCATGACATGGTTTTCTTTTGTTCTGGCCATTGCCTTTTTTCCAGATACTGAGGCCCTCAGTGACATACTGGCCAGATTCTATAACACTGTGGTCTTTTTTGCCTAATAAAACCCAGCCCTATTTGGTTAAACAAATTCTCCTTCCTTCCTGATTCCAAGCTCTCCTCCCTGCCCCAGTGCGAGCTACGCTGTGACTCAGCAGGCTCAGTGGGGAGGGCCAGCTCACACATGTACACCCTCCCCTTCCCCATATGCTCGGCTCCTCTGACATTGGAGGCAGTGAGGAGGGACATGGGCATGCAAGGCTCTATGTCAGTTATTCTGGCCCTGTCCAACATGATGGGCTGGCGGTGCCCTCTTTATGCCGGGCAGTGAATGCTGAGCCTTGGGACACTGTTCCATGCAGTTACCATGCTTAGTGATAGCGTGAATTGTCCCAGCTCTGGCCAATGGCAGACTCTTCAGCTGGGCTCCTGAGGCTTTGATGAGACCCACACAGCTGTAGAGAGCTCCCTCCTTTTCAGTCCATTCCTGCCCCAGACCTGGAATCGGCCAGCTGCTCACAGAGGCCTGGTTCCCATTAGTGGGAATGGGCCTCAGGACGGCACTGGAGGCCTCATGCCCACTGTTGCCGGATGGGTTGCTGTGGCCGGGCTCTCAGTGGACACAGCCAGGAGAGATAGAGGGAAGCAGGCTCCGTCGCTCATGCACACACTTCCCCTCCTGTCCTGAGCTGCAGGCCTTATTTAACCTTGTCTCTCCCACCATCTGTGTCTCCTTACTTCCATCCACAGGCCCCAGTTCCCATGGGCTCTGGAGACGGAATTCAGGGATCACAGGTGACCCATTCACCTTGTCCCCCACTGTACACGGGCAGCGCAGCACAGTGGCACCCGCACCACCAGCAGCAGATTCTGCTAGAAATCAGACTTCCCAGTTCCTGTCCTCACAACATTTTCTACTGGCGACATGGCCCAGTGGCCCTGTGTTGGAGGGACTTGAGTGAGCCCTGGCTGGCAATGCCACCAACTGTAAAGACATTCATTTTATATTCCATTTCTAGGGGACTTTAAAGAATTAGGTTCTGTAATTACAGAAGACATGTTTCCGGGTCTGTAGAATCAGGCATCTTTGAAGAACCCCGGGACAGAGGCTGCCGCCCAGCCCTGCTTCCACTCACCTCCCTCTAGGGGCTGCTTTTCCCACGGGCCTCCTTCCCCTTTCTTACCCCGGTTACTTCCAGAATGCGGAGCCTTTGTGTTTACATTCCGTTGTTACCTTTGCTCATGCTTCCACACAGTGCCCGTCATCCGTTTCTGTTCTTGTCATCGGTTTCCCACTAGAACAGTGTTCAGATTCTCCAGTGGCTGCCCTTTCTTTCTTCCCTTCTTGTTCCCAACATCTGACTTGAGTTGACATCCTCTCACAGGTAGTACCTGTAGTGCCATCAGCAGGCATATGTCTCATGTGTCGTCTGCCTTCCCTGTATCTAATTATCTACACTGCCTGACACGTCACCACACACCTTGCAGTGTAAGCAGATAACGGACACGCGCCTACTACCTCATGGGTTCCCTGGGTCCGGAGCCCGGTGTGTTCTCATCTGTGGACCCTATGAGGGAAGGGCTCACTTCCAGGCTCATCCTGGCAGCTGGCAGGAGTACTTCCTTGTGGTTATGGGACTGAGGTCCCATCTTCTTGGGGACTGTCAACCCAGAGCCACTCAGCTCCTAGAGTCCCCCACCGTCCTCAATGCTGGGGGCCTCTCTGCAGGACAGCTCACTCCTCAAGGCCACTCCAGCCTGCTGAGACACGTCTTTCTAATTTTGTGTGAATTTTGCCAGCGTTCCCTCCCTTCTCTCCTGCCTACAGGCTTGTGAGTGTGAAGAGTATTGGGTCTGCCCTGTGGCTCACTGGGCTATGTCCGGGGTCTCCTTTCTGTTCTAGTTGAAGGGGCCCACGCCCCTTCTCCTTCCCTCTCTCTCCAGTCCTCTGTTAAGTGAATTTTTCATTTCCAGTCTTGTACTTTCTAGTTCTAGTGTTTGTATTTGGCTGGGATTTTTTTACATGTTTCACTTCTCTGCCCAGATTCACAGCTGTTCACTTATTAAGATCACTTGTTTTTAACGGCTTTATGGAGATCTAGGCTGCACAGCATCTCCCCGTGTACAGAGCAGTGGGTTCTCATGTATTCAGAGTTGTGCAACCGTCAGCACACACTGGGAGCTTTTCCATCACCCACAATATAGCACTGCCTGAGTGTGGCCCCATTTGTCCCCAGCCCCCTCTCCAGCCCCTGCCAACCATCTGTCTAGTTTTCGTCTCCAGGGATTTGCCTACTCTGGACAGTTCCTGTAAATGGAATTGTACACTCTGCAGCCTTTGTGTCTTTGACTGAAATGCTTTCAGGGTTGGCCCAGGTTCTGATGGCTATCAGGGGCACTTCATTCCATATTTAAGTCCTCGAACAGACATTAAGAATCTACTTTAAAGTCCTTGTGTGCCAATTCTAACATCTGGAATTTTTGTGAATGATGTGAAGAGGGGTAAACAGTGAAGTTCGACACCCTCCACTCTGCTTAGAAGAAAGCTCCAAGTGGGCCGTGTGTGGGGGCTCCGCCTGTGATCCCAGCACTGTGGGTCCGAGGCAGGCGGACCACCAGGTCAGGAGATCAAGACCAGCCTGGCCAACATGGTAAAACCCCATCTCTACTAAAAATACAAAAATTAGCTGGGCGTAGTGGCTCCACCTGTGATCCCAGCACTGTGGGGGTCTGGAGATCAAGATCAGCCTGGCTGACATGGTAAAACCCCGTCTCTACTAAAAATACAAAAATTAGCTGTGCGTGGTGGCACGCCTGTAATCCCAGCCACTCGGGAGATTGAGACAGGAGAATTGCTTGAACCTGGGAGGCGGAGGTTGCAGTGAGCCAAGATCACACCACTACACTCCAGCCTGGCGACAGAGCAAGACTCCATCTCACAAAAAAAAAAAAAGAAAGAAAGCTCAGTGGATCTGAGAATCTGAGACTGCAATGTGAAAGGCCCAACTGTGAATCTCTCAGGAGATGCTGTGGATCGGAGCATGTCCTTGTGACTTCAGACCAGGAAGGGATTTCTCAAACAGACACAGCAGAAGCCTTGATGGAAGAGGCTGATACATTCAGTTCCATTAAAATGAAGAAGGTCAGGGCAGAGTTTGGGTTTTGTAAAATGAAAAGAGTTCTGGAGATTGGGTGCAGGGCATCGTGAATGCTTAATTGGACACTTTATCGTAAAACTATTCAGTTGTAAAAGGTGAGAACCTCTTCATCAAAGGACATAGAAAGACGGAAAGGCAATATTGGGGATGAAAACCATTCACCATTACTCTTCAAAGTGAGTGGAAGGCAATGTCCCTGCAGGGTTTGAGTGGAAGAGTGGGCATGACTTGGCAGACCCCATGCCAGCCACTTTTGCTGCTCTGTTAAGAGACTGTGGGACAGAGAGGTCGGTGGTAGCAGAGAGCTAAGTGACAAGAAGCGGTCAGATTCTGGATGCACACTGCAGGCAGACGCAGGACTTGCCAGTGGAGTCCTCACTATGTGGTGAGGTAGTGACTGCCGTCAGGAACCCAGGGTGCTCAGGAGCTCAGCCTGGAGCTATGGAGTTAAAATGCCTGTCAGGTGTGCAGACGGCTGCAGGTGGAAACGGGTTGTCAGCGTGTATGGGAAGTGGGTGTAAGGTCATGTTACTGGAATCACTCTCCTGAAGAGCAAGTGCAGACAGAAGAGGACCACGGGCCAAGCCTGGGCGGAGTGGAAGGGAGGAGGCGAACCAGGTGCTGGGGATGACGCCCTGGGGAGGAGCGCAGCCCATCAGAGAGGACGCCTGCTGGCCTGGCTGGGCTAACACACACACCTGGCGTCCGCAGCTGAAGACCGATCTAGGACAGTCTGGAGGCAGCCACGGCGCCTCAGCCTTGCTTCCTGTGTCTGACCCCAGCACACGAGCCTGGGCATGGCATTCCCGCAGCAATGGCAGAGGACAAGAGTGAGACAAGCCCAGGCGCAGGCGTTCATTTCAGCCTCCCTTCTGCATGCCTGCCACTGTCCCATTGGCCAAAGCAAACCACAGTCACCTAGATTCAAGGGATGGAGGGGGACCTGCCGCCTCTCTGCTAGGGAGGGAGGAAGTAGAGCCCTTAGGGCAGACCATGTCCCTCCACCAGGGAGGGAGTGAACAGTTGCACTCCACATGCCGATGGGTCATGTCCTGATTAGAAGGCACCCCAGCTTTAGTGCTGGTGGAATGGAGAGACCTGAACCCAGGCCTGCCTGGAGCAGCTAGAGCAGGACAAGAGGGGGTTGGGCTGGGGCTGCCACAGGCGGGCAGACACTGGCAGCCACTGGTGAGAGAGAGAGAGGGACCAGGTAGAGGCAGGACTGTGTCTGGTGGAGTTACTGGTGCACCAGAGAAGGGGAACGGCTGGAGCAGTGTCCCTGGTGAGCATTGTTTTTGGTTTTGAGACGGAATTTCGTTCTGTCGCCCAGGCTGGAGTGCAGTGGTGTGATCTCGGCTCACTGCAACCCCTGCCGTCTGAGTTCAAGCAATTCTCCTGCCTCAGTCTCCTGAGTAGCTGGGATTACAGGTGTGCACCACCACACCTGGCTAATTTTGTATTTTTAGTAGAGACGGGGTTTCACTATGTTGACCAGACTGGTCTCGAACTCCTGAACTCAGGTGATCCGCCCATCTCGGCCTCTCAAAGTGCTGGGATTACAGGCGTAAGCCACCGTGTCCAGCCTCAGGAGCATTGTTTAAACAGAAGGGAAAAAGCCAGGAACAACCCGAATGTCCAGAAGACTGGGAACCGGCAGTGCCGCATTTATATCCAGTAGTGGGAAGGGATGAGCTCCCTGTCTCCGCGCAGATGGTCTCATAACTGGTCCTGAAGGAAAGAAGCTGGCTGCCCAGGCAGTCAGGGCCACATGAGCCCCACATTCTGCAGGGCGAGTGCATGTGGCACGGCTCAGGAGGATCAGGGATGAAAAGAGTAGGAACCCCACAAGGAACTGTGGGCAGCAGGCTGGTGGGGAGCCCATGGAACCTGGCACATTCTGTCTTCTGGCCTGGGGCATAGTCACATGGGCACCCTGCTTCTCACCCTTGCATTTGCACACACACTGCTGCACTCGGAGACGCTGATGCCAAGGGCCCTGTGTGGCTGGGTGGGGACCAGATGCAGGCTTGCCTGGCAACAGGACTTGGTGCGTCCTGAGTTGTACTGTGCACAGACCGCAGAGGCCATCAGAACACACCCGAAGGGAGGGGTCCTGGTGACGGAACTGTTCTGCGGCTCCTGCCCGTGTGGCCACCCCTTGTTTTCAGCTTGCACAGAGAGTCCCTTTGGGTCTGAGGTAGTGCGCCAGGTTGGTCCTGCCTGATTAACTCTGTGCCTTCTCCGCCACAGGCATGGAAAGCTCACCTGATGGGCCCAGCCGGCTGCACCATGAACCTGCGCAAGACACACATTCTGCAGAAGGCCCCAGCACTGCAGCCAGGTGAGGCCGGGGCGCTGAGCGGGTGCGGTCCATCCCTCATTTCCACTTACTCAAAAGAGCATCCATGGCAGGGCAACATGGCAAGACCTCATCCCTTTAAAAAAAAAAAAGTATCCCAGCCTCTCCCTCGTGTTCTGGTTTCTTAGTAAGCAGACTAATCATAATCGTGTGACCAAAATCCTTCTCCAGACCAAAATCTGACATGCAAAGGCTCCCACTCCAGTCCTCTTCTCTTTCTACATCACTCACACAAGTGTTTAGAATCAGGAAGCTGGCCGGGCACAATGGCTCACGCCTGTAATCCCAGAACTTTGGGGGCCAAGGCGGTCAGCTCACTTGAGGTCAGGAGTTCAAGACCAGCCTGGCCAACATGATGAAACCCTGTAAAAAAAATTAGCTGCACACAGTGGCGGGGGCCTGTAATCCCAGCTACTTGGGAGGCCGTAGCAGGAGAATCTCTTGAACTCAGGAGGTAGAGGTTGTGGTAAGCTAAGATCATGCTATTGCTCTCCAGCCTGGGCAACAGAGTGAGACTCTGTCTCAAAAAAAAAAAAAAAAGAATTAGGAAGCTAAAGAGTAGACCCATAGCTAATGCCACTGCCTGATCTAGAAATCACATTAGCCATTTCATGTCAGATTTGGGATGCCTTGCAAGAAGATAGGATTTCCTTTATTAGAAAACTATTCCTGGTGGCAAAGCCTTTAATACACAACTGTATTTGAGGAATGACAATGTTTGTGGGTGTTGGGTATGTGCCAGGCCCTGGCTGAGGCCTGCACCTGGTTACAGGGTATCCACATCCCAACCTCTGCCACACATGGGGAAAGAGAGGCTCCTGGGCCGCCTGCTGACCACCAGCCAGCCGGGAAGCCCCTCTCCTGTCTCTGTGGCTGCCCTTCCTCCCCACTGCTGGAGCTGAGTTCCAGGCTAATGCCAGGGCGGCTCTGTGTCCTCTGCCCCATGTCACATGTTTCCTCTGCATTCTCTTCCTCTCCTGGTACCACCACGTGTGCATGTGCAGCCAGCCAGCACAGCCACTTCCCACATCTGCTGTCAACCTGGCTCCTGGGGACCACGTGACCGCTACCCACTGTGCAGACCCCACCAGGCCCAGCCCTAAGTCCTGCAGTCGGGTGCTGGCTATCACCATGGGCCCTCAGACACTGTTGCTCGGTGTCTGGCCACTCACACTGTGGCCACAGGTTCCACATCTGATTTGTGGGTAGGAGCGCCCTCCTAATGTGGGTCCTGTGCTTGCTCTGCAGGGAGAAGGTCAGCTGTGGCCGCATCAGGCCCCTCAGGGTCAAAGGCCGGAAGCAAGATCCCCACCCCAAAGGGCGGGCTGAGCAAGAGCTCCAGCAGGACGCTTGCCAAGCGCTGACACGGCACTCTGGCTCATTTGTCTCTGTAAGGGATGGAGCATGTCTCCTGATTCCACACTATTTCTCCTGAACTCTCTGGCCTTGGCGACCCCATGCTCTGGCTGCTGTCCCTGGCTCCCAGCTGTGCACGCCTCTTACATGTCCGCACCGTCAGCTCATGCACACGATATGTATGGGAGTAACCAAAGACCCTGTGTGCAGTGCCCGGACCCGGGCTCTGTGCGCTGAGCCTTCAGGACTGTCTCAGGCTTTCCTTAGAATCAGAAGAGGACGCTGCCTGGGAGGTGCTAGCGCAAGGCTTCAGGCAGCACAGGTGAGGCCCCACTTTCCTTAGTACTGGGAGAGATTTCCATAAAATATGACCAGAACCTGCAGGCAGCACAGGCGAGGCCCCACTTTCCTTAGTACTAGAGAGATTTCCATAAAACATTACCAGAACCTTTTGCACATTGCTCCCTGTCACATGCAGTAGAATATCCACAGGGCTGAGGCTCGGCCCGCGGTGGTTCCGGGAGAATGGGCATGCGCACTGGCCTCCAGCCGTGCCTTCTCCTCCCTGCAGGCCCCATCTGCTGGCCATGCCCAGTGCTCTCAGCCCCGGGTAGCAGAACTCACGTTCCCACTAGAGCAAGAAATAAAGGCAAAAGAGAACATCTTTTAAAATTAGTAGTGTTTCTGAGAATTGTTCCCACCTTGGCAAGCACCTTGCTGGATGCTTCTCCAGTAGCGCTGTCTCTGTGACAGATGTCAGCCCCCGCCTGGAACTGAGGTGGACACGTGTGGCCCGTGCCGTGCCTTTGCCTGGAGGCGCTTCGCATTCTCCACACTTTGGAATTCCTAAAGAAATGTGGAGAAAGTCACTGTGAAATGAATTTCCACCTGGTCACTCTGCTCACAGCACACAGAAGCCCACTGGTGCGGCCCGGCCCGGCCCTTCAGCTCCATGTTGTGACTGGGCCCATGTTTACTTTCTTCAGATAGTTCATAGGATGTTTAAAACACCAATACGTTGCTTCAATGATGTAACCAAACCTCAGAAACCGTCTCCAATCAGCCATCCCGTCATGGGGGAGTGAGCCGTGGGTTTCAGCTGTAGCTTTGGGCCTATGGCACGTCCAGGCCACTGTATAGAGGGAGTCAGGGCCTGTCTGGAAGTGCCTATGCTCTTCCTGCCCCAGCCTGTGCTCCCAGGGGTCGAGGCTACCACGGACTGAGGGCAGTTCCCTCCCACCCGGTGCCCGGGGCTTCTGCTTGCCTCATGGGTGTTGCATGCGCAGACTTTGAAAATGTTAGTTAGAAAGGTTTGGGATTGATGGAGTTTGTGTTAAGCAATTAGTATATAAATATTTCTTAATTCCCCACTGTGCGAAACAACAAAATATCTAAGAACTAATCGCTATTTGAACAATGTACTCCCTGGTTTGGATACGTTAATAACCATGAACTTTCGTGAATTAATCTCCATGTTTGGTAAATATACCTCCGGTTGACTCAGAATACTAAGTAAGAGTAAGACCTACCAAGAATCTTTAAGAATATGCTCTGCTAAATGTTTTTAAAGTATAAGGAGAGAGGGGGCCAGGTGCAGTGCTGAAGCCTGTAATCCCAGCACTTTGGGAGGCTAAGGAGGATGGATCTTGAGGTCAGGAGTTGGAGACCAGCCTGGCCAATATGGAGAAGCCCTGTCTACTAAAAATACAAAAATTAGCCAGGTGTGGTGGCGCATGCCTGTAGTCCCAGCTACTCTGGAGGCTGAGGCAGGAGAATCGCTTGAATCCAGGAGGCGGAGGTTGCAGTGAGTCAGATTGTGCCACTGCACTCCAGCCTGGGTGACAGAGACTCCATCTCAAAAAAAAAAATAGTATAAGGAGAGAAATAACTTTAATCTTTATGAGACAAAACAGAGTACAGATCCCAAGATGTCTGTAAAATGATCCTTTCTGGTCTCAAAGAGATGTTGGCCATTATTTTCTAATCCATGTTTAAAATACAGACAAAATAGAATTTGTTCCTTAAATAGAACACGAACGAGAAAAGTTAACCAAAGAATTATTCTTCTCTCACCAATGAAAACTTTTAAGAAATATATGTGTTTTCTATATATTGGAACTTAAAGAAAACATTTATAAAAATACGTCATTTTTAGTGATTGACAAACTTGGGTTCATTTAAAACAGATTCCTCTTTTGTTAGTTACAGAAGAATCGTGTGTTTTTGTTGAAATGATCCTACCAGTGATTAGTGGCTGTTGAGAGCTTTACAGGGCTATTGTTAAGGGACCGAGAATCTGGTATAAAAAACTTCAAAGGAACTGTAAGATCCCTTGGCCATAAATAAATGACTAAATTTGGAATACTAACTAATAATTGAGTTTTTACTCATGTTCTGAATATTTAATATTTATTTCTATTATTTTCATGTCAAGATATTCTATTAAATCTAATTTAAAAGGATTGTATGTATAAATTGGCATTAGAATACAAATGTAAATACTTGTAATGAAATTTTGCAAGTTTTTAATATTTTAACATAGTTTTCTATTTGTCTTTATTTCAAGTACCAGAGTTATAAAATATCTAAGTAATTTATTTTTATTGTTTTAGGGCTTAAGGGTTAATTCGCCCTGAGTATATTAATAAAAAGATCACTAAATGTTTTGTCACTTTATTTCAACATTACAATTAAAAAGCAATTTACCAATTACATTTACTTTAATAAACAAGTGTAGCCCAGCCCTGAAACCTTAGAAAGTAGATCGAAAGTCTGGGCAAGGTGGCTCACACCTGTAATCCCAGCACTTTGGGAGGCCAAGGTGGGCAGATCATGAGGTCAGGAGTTCGAGACCAACCTGACTAACATGGTGACACCCTGTCTCTACTAAAAATACAAAAATTAGCCAGGTGTGGTAGTGCACACCTGTAATCCCAGCTACTCGGGAGGCTGAGGCAGGAGAATCACTTGAACCCGGGGGCAGAAATTGCACTGAGCTGAGATCGCACCATTGCGCTCCAGCCTGGGCGACAGAGCGAGACTCCATCTCAAGAAAATAAAAAAAATAGATTAACAATTCGTGAAAAAAGAGACAACAGGTATGAAGTTGCCCTGAGAGAGTTTGTTCCTAGAATAAGCTCTTTGTCAAAACAAGTTCACTGTTGAAGAAATGAGATGATTTGGAACCACACGGAGATTAGAGAAAATGACCAGTTCTATCCTGTGGAATAAATGTTACCAGCTCTCAAGGCTGTTTTGCTTTTCAACTAAGCACTGCACCATGACCACCCACCTACTGCCCAGGAAAGCCAGGAGCAGTGGCTGTGGCACCCTCAATTGGAAAGCTGGGTGGGCTGAGCCGTGGGTGGGAGGTCATGGTCAGGGCTTAGGCGGTGAGCCTTTGAGCCCACCCTGTGGGGAGGGGTGGCTCTAGACCACCCAGCGGGTGGAGGCGGGTCTGCGGGAATTCATGACCATGCAAGGCCAGTGTTGTCATTCTCAACGACAGAACAGAGAGATTCCAGGCACACACAGCTGCAGGGCAAAGCCCCTGCTTGCCCTCTGACTGCGGGGAGGAAGGTTCTGGTCCAGAGGAACCTTGGCACTGTCTGGATCTTGAAAATAGCATGGGAGATCCTGACTCCACTGATGGAGCAGTTTCTAGGGAGTGCGTGACCACAGCTTGCCGCTGCCTCAGTTTCCTCACCTGTAAAATGGAACTGAAGGTCCCTTTGTAGGAAACGGTGGCCAGGGGCAGACCTGTGTTACTTACAGTTAAATGACGGATCAAATACTGAATAAAGAGAACTCCAAACTATGGTGCAGTAAAATAAAAGCAGAGATCAAGCAGTAACAGGAGGCCTCTAGTGAAGACCGTCTGAGAGCTTCATAACTGCGGGATGCTGCGGTGTGGTTGCGAGGCAGCAAAGACAGCTTTGGTCCCACGATCTCTTCCCAACACAAAGTCTGCGTGAGGGTCTCTTAAAGAGGGCTTGTGCGAGAACTCTAGGAAGGAACGCAACCTCTGCTCACAAGACTCCGGAGGGTCTTTGTAGACGGGAGCTTGCAGGACAGGAAAGTCTTGCAGGGCAGAGATAACTGGAACGCCCCAGGCTCTGCCTGTGTTCTCAGAATATGGGGTATTTCTGACTGCTCGGCGACCACAGTGCTCAGGAGATAAAAACCCCTTGATGCACTGTGTGTGCTCAGACCTTATGGTGCCCTATCCATTGTGTCTCTTTTGCAAATGCACCTGGATAGAGAATGGGTGGTAAAAACTCACTGCCCTTAGTTAGCATTTCTTAGAAGAACTACATTTGCTATTGAATGCTGCAGACATAGGCTCTTCCCCCTACCATCTTCCTTCTCCACACCTCTCCCCACAGCCTGCAAGATTAACAAGATAATGCACCCAATAAAAAGTGTGTGGAGTCCAGAGCTCAGTGCCAACGCAGATCACCCCGCGAGAGAGTGCGTTGGACCCCTGGATGGACCCATGCTGTGAACTTCTACCCTTGGCCCTGTCTTATTTCTTTTCTCACTCCGTCATCACTGCCAGGCAACGGGGCACTCATGAACAGGGTTGGGCTGCATCCCAACACCCTTGCTATGCACTGTGTGCCAAAGAGGACACACACACACCCCAAGCATTTTCCAGCCCTCTGCACGACTGGCCTCAGGGTGTCAGGCACCTGCCCCTAAGTGGGGAACACCTTTGAGAATCAGTGGAGGTGAGGTCCAGCCAGCAGAGGGCAGTGGGCAGCCTGAAGGCAGAGGAGCCCCCACTGCCCACCCACCCAGCTGCAAAATCCTACCAGAGCATCTTCCAAATTCAGGGGTTCCCAGAGCATCCCTCCTTCGTAAGAATGAAGCCCTGGGACAGGGACAGGCAGGGGAGAGGGAAGGAAATCTCTCCCCCTTCAGAACTTTTCTTTAATTCCAGAGACAGAGTCTCACTCTGTTGCACAGGCTGGAGTACAATGGTGCTACAATGACTCACTGCAGTTTCAAACTCCTGGGCTCAACCCATCTTCCCACCTCAGTCTCCTGAGTAGCTGGGACTGCAGGCACAAGCCACCAACCCCAGCTAATTTTTTTTCATGGGAGGAGGAGGTCTCACCATGTTGCTCAGGCCCCCTGCAAACTATTTGATCACCAACATCAGTGTCATCAGCAGCCCATTTGCCTCTGTAATGTGGGTCTCATACCTCCTGTGTTACTCTGGGTAGCAGCATCAGGCAGCACTCTGTTGCCTGGTGCTGGGGGGTGAATGTGCCCTGCAAATGCATGAGCTGGAAACTCACTCCCCTGTGCAACAGTATATGGAGGTGGGGCCCGACAGTAGGCCCTGTCCTCATGGATGGATTTCTGCAACAATAGAAGGTCTTGGAGCCAGATACGGTGGCTCACACCTATAAACCCAGCCCTTTGGAAGGCCGAGATGAGAGGATCACTGACATCCAGGAGTTCAAGACTAACCTGGACAACATAGTGAGACCCTATCTCTACAAAAAATAAAAAATTAGCTGGGTGTGGTGGTGTGTGCCTGTAGTCCCACCTATTCAGGTGGCTGAGGGAGGAGGATCACATGAGCCTTGGAGGTTGAGGCTGAAGTGAGCCATGAACGTGCCAGTGCACTCAGTCTGGGTGACAGAGTGAGACCCTGTCTCCAAAACAAAGTGAGTGGGGGGCCTTGGGTGTGGGAACCCCCTTCACCTTCTGCCCTGTAAGGACACAGCCAGCTTTCCCTCTCTCCCTCCAGAGGATGCTTGGACTTCCAGCCTCCACAGCTGTTAGAAAGAATACCTAGTCTCAGACATTTTGTTATAACAAGCAGACTAAGACACCTGATCCTCTTTGTTTGTTTATTATTTTTTTGAGATAGGGTCTCACTCTGTCACCCAGGCTGGAGTGCAGCAGTGCAATCTCAGCTCATTGCAACCTTCAACCTCCTGGGCTCAAGTGATACTCCTGCCTCAGCCTCCTGAGTAACTGGGACTATAGGCACATGACACCATGCCCAGCTAATTTTTACATTTTTGTACAGGGGAATCTCACTGTGTTGCCCAAGCTGGTCTGGAACTCCTGAGCTTAAGTGATCCTCCCACCTCAGCCTCCCAGGGTGCTGGGATTACAGGCATGAGCCGCCACACCCCCGAGTGGTCCTGTTTAAAATGTGTTCAGTGGTGGGGCATGGTGGCTCTTGCCTGTAATCACAGCACCTTGGGAGGCTGAGGTGGGCAGATTACTTGAGGTCAGGAGTTTGAGACTAACCTGGGCAACATGGTGAAATGCTGTCTCTACTAAAAATACAAAAATTAGCCAGGCATGGTGGCAGGTGTCTGTAATTCCAACTACTTGGAGGCTGACGCAAGAGAATCACTTGAATCCAGGAGGCAAAGGTTGCAGTGAGCTGAGATCACACCACTATACTCCAGCCTGGGGTGACAGAGTGAGACTCCATTTTTTTAAAAAAAGATGTGTCCAGTGCTGGGAGTTAGAAGACAGTGGCCAGCACTCAGTGGAGGTGCTCAAGCTAAGGGTGCCCTGTCCCCTTACCCTAGCCACCCTAGCCTTGGCTTCTCAGCTGTCTTCTCAGCTCTGGGAGTCTGCTGGGCTCTGCCACCCAGGCTGGAGTTCAATGGTGAGTTTGATATGGTTTGGATCTGTGTCCCCACCCACATCTCATATTGAAATGTAGTCCTCAATGTTGGAAGAGGGGCCTGGGGGAGGTGGATCATGGGAGCAGATTTCTCATGAAGGGTTTAGCACCATCCCCTTGGTCCTGTCCCGGTGATAGAGCATTCTCATGAGATCTGGTGGTTTGAAAGTATGTGGCACCTCCCCCTCACTCTCTAGATCCTGCTTTACCTCCGCCATGAGTAAAAGCTCCCTGAGGCCTCCCCAAGGAGATGCTCATGCTACACTTCCTGCAGAGCCTGCAGAATCATAAGTCAGTCAAACCTCTTTATAAATTACCCAGTCTCAGGTAATTCCCCTTTACAAACCTTATCACAACTCACACTGACCATCTACAACATGTTTGGACTTTCTAACTTGTCTTATACTTCTCTCTTTTCTAGTCATTTTACTTTAGGATAAGAATTTACCACATAACATCCTTTCTTATATAAAATTATTTTCTTTTCTTCATATTCTTACCAAAAATATATCTTCATATACAAAACTTTTTTATTACTCTCTCCCCTACTTACTAATTTCTTTTTACCTTTCTTCATAACTTTTAAGCAATTTTCAAATAACATAAAATTATTTTTTATCTCAATATTTACAGACTTACATATTAATTAGAATCCCTATTCTTAGCAACCTTAAATTTTAGTGAAAACCCAGGAAGCAAGAAATCTTGAACTATCAGAAGTTATTTTGTAGATGAAACCATTCCATAATTTTTAGAAACACATTTTCCCATTGCACAATCTTTTCTCAATGTAGTTTCACTACATTGGCTAGGCTGGTCTTGATTTCCTGAACTCAAATGACTCTCCTGTCCACTTATAAGTATTTATTTCATTTA